AGAAACAACAAGTTGCTGTTCCTCCTTCTCCTCGTGAGGAGTAGGCACCGCATCGGCATGCGGCAAGTGGCTGACCTCAACCTCTCCAGCATCAACTGCATCAAAAAACTCATCCTCGTCATCCGACTCAGAGTCAGACAGCTCAAGCGAATCAAGAACCGTCTTCTTCCTTGTCAAGGTCCTCTCGGGCGCCGCTGGCGGGGCTGCGATATTCGTGTCATCGGCACCGACGGCGGCCTCAACGGTCGCAGTACCATCCACCTTTCTGTCAGCCTCGAGGTCCTGGCTAGTGGCCGTTGGCTGCTCGTTCATAACTTCGCGGAGCGCACGCTTGGCGGCTTTGCGCTTCTGCTCAGCCTGGTCGACACGCTCCTCGAGGATCTCCTGCTCCTTGGCAACCTTGGCCATGCTCTCCTCCCACATGCGGCGCATGTCGATTTCGCGGTCCAGCCGGTACTGCCAGTAGGCATCGCGATCCTTTGAAATCCGCATCAGGTCTCCGATGAGTCCCGTCAGACTCCTGACAGCGGCATCGTAGGTTGTGAGAGCCTGAGTGACCTTGGTGTCGGAAACAATCGTATTCGGGTTCTTAGAGGCCTCGGAGAGCATCGCAGCATTGACAGCTGAGATGGTATCGAGCTGTAGCTTGGCCGACTGAGCTGTGATGCTGAAGGCGTCCTTGCTGACAGAGGGCTCTTCACGGCTACTGACATCCTCAAAGTCGTCATCATCATCGTCATCGTCTGGTCCATGGTGCCCTCTTGTTACGCGAGATTGACCCGCATCTGTCGCGGCATCGGCAAAGTCGTCATCGTTGCTAGCGACGGTGCTTGCGCCAGCAAAGTCGCTTCTGGGGACGGACATCTTGCTGTGCGACATAGTCCTGGGGATCTGCACACTGCTTCTTCCATCGGCCACGCTGGCGCTCTCGCTCTGAGCCTCGTTGATGGACAGCTCTGGCGACTTTCCAGACTGCTCTGCCTTTGCCTGCCTCAGCAGCTCGGCGCCGCGAGCGCGCTGGCGCTCTTCCTCCTTTGCCTGGTCCTTTGTCCACTGAATGGAGTTGTTAAGGGCCCAGAACCAACGCTTCGCCTCGACCTCGTGGTTGGCCTTGAGGGTGTACTTGACTGAAGACTTGCCGATAATCTCGAATTTGGTCTTCTCGTCGGCGCTCATATGCAGCTTGGCGATGCGCGTGTTGATGGCGCCACGGCAAGCGGAGCCGGCATCGTCCTGGTGCTTGTAGTAGCTCAGAACGCCGTCCTCGAGAACGAACCATCGAAGCTGGTATCCCTTGCGGTAGTTGGTCCACTTCTTCAGGTAGCCCTTCATCTCTCGCGCCTCCTTTCCGGCCACAGGATCGGCAGAGGCCGCGGCTCCAGCGCCCTGTGAAGCCGCCTGGCCGAGAACGGCTTTCTCCTGTATACCTCTCTGAGCCGCAACGGCAGCGGGGGATCGCTTAAGCATGGCGCGTGTGGTATCGTCCTTTGTCACATCCTGCGGAAGCTTGCCCTTGCGGTCCCGACGGAAGGGATCGGCTCCGTGGAGCAGGAGGACCTGGATGAGTTGGGTATTCTTCTTGCGGGCGGCCTCGTGGAGAAGGTTTCCGCCGGCCTGGAGGGTTGTGGGTTCGGTAACGAATTCTGTGCTATTGATGTCGAGAATCTGCTTGAGGCGTGACTCCTCCAATACAGTCTCGAGAGCCTTGTAATCGTTCTGCGCAATCAGACCCTGGATCTGTCTAACCTTGTTCTCGGCAAAGATGGATCGCGACAGCTGGAGAAGCTGGAAAATATCGGGGTTTCGTGCGACGTCGATGGGCAATCGGCCCTGGTAGTTGGCGATGGCATCGTTGATCTCCTTCTGGTCCAGCAAGAGCTTGACAACCTGGGTTCGGCCCTGGACGGCAGCTACGTGCAGCGGGGTATTTCCATCCTTGTCTCTAGCGTTGATATCGATGGTCCCAGCGCCGTCAGACAGGACGTACTCGACAACGGGGTATTCGGCGCATTGGATCGCAAGGTGAAGCACGGTGGTGTCGTCGAGGCCGGTGCCGCTGAGGGTATTGATGGAGGAGATGCTCGTGCGGGGCCCGCCCTCGGCGGTATCCCTGATGGCCTTGGAAATGGAGGCAGTGTCGCCGCTTCGCAGGGCCTCGACGATGCGGAACTTGCGGACAGATTGCTCGAGGGAGACGCCCTTTTCGCTACCTGCGACGCTCATCTTGGATGCAGATGTAGATGCGGTTGCGGAGGGGGGGCTGTTGTGGGAAGGGGTTCGGCCCATGGAAGGGGAGATGGAAAGCCTGTTGGCCCCGTTGCCGCGGGGGACGTTTTGAGCCATGGATATGTTTGTCGCGGAAGCCGCTGTAGAAGGTGGCGACGTCAGCGGCGCACCGTCATCCGTGGTGGATGGATCTTCTTCGCTGCGGGAGTGGTTTCGTCGTAGGAGTGAGAGGGCAGCGGCCGACTTTGACCGCTTGTGGGTGCTGGAGAATCAGGAGAGGGTTAGCTTTGCTGCCGCCAAGATTGGGATGCGGAAGGTGCTGTTGCTGGTGCTGATAGTGCTTCTGTTTCTTGCTGCTGCTGCTGCTGCTGCTGCTGCTGCTGCAGGCCGCCCCGGAGAGAGTGTATGGGCAGACGCCTTGCTGTTGAGGTTTATGTCGGTCCCGATGACAGGTGCAGTGGGAATGGGAGGATGGTGCCAGAAGGGATGGGAGATTGTGGATGTGTGCATAGCAGCTGGAATGCCACAGGCGTGGAGAAGACGGGAGCAGATTGAGGTGGATCATCACGTACCTATCGCCAGCGTCCGACATGTTGCAGAGCAGTAAGGAAGCTCGGCTTCACTCACACACATGAACCTAGCTGGAGCAACAGTATCCGTAAAAGGATGCTATTATGGACACCTCTGGAACGCGGGCCAGGCAAGGTTGCTTGGATTCCCCACTTCCTTGTAAGATAGTCTGAGTTTATATGAGCGTGTCCTGGATCCCGTCTCTCGTGGGGAGGTAATGTAAGGTAAAGAATGGAGCAGCCGGTGGTCAAGCACAAGGGACGGGCTTGTTGTCCGTATGCCACACTCCGTAGTAAAAGGAAAAGAATGGGTAAAGAAAGGTAAGGCAGTTTATGGCTTATGCTCGCAGGAATACTGGGTACTCGGACCTGTTGATAGGTCGGCGGAGGGGTTGGATGAGGAGGAGAATTGGTGGAGGATGCTGCTGCTGAATGAGGGACTGACTGGAAGTCGGTTCGGTTGGGGGAATGTGAGACGCTTTGGTCGGCGACAACAGACAAACCACAGACAATGGTGGGGTGGGTTGGATAATGCGTACAGCAAAGCTGTGGATGTTGTGATGAATATCCGATGATACCTAGAGATAGGTAGGCATCGACGTGAGCGGCGTGGTTGGAACCAATGGGGTGCGAATTATCCCACGAAAGAGAAGATTCCAACGTTGGAATCCCGCTTTCGTTCGTGAGCGAGGATGATGGTGTTGTTGTTGCTGCTGCCAAGTTTTCTGCAAGTCGCACGAGAACGAAAGCGAGCTGAGCATGTAGTGTACGGAGTGAGGTAGTGTAGTGTAGAAGCAAGTGGGATGGATGGTTGGACGGGATGGATGGGTAGATGATGGTCTTCCTTCTTTCTTTCTTTCTTCTCGACTGTTCGGGATACATAGAACCTAAGGTATCTCTCTCTATCTCTCCCACTCCTCGTCCCGAGTCTGCGCCTGAATCACATAAGGCAAGGTCACCAGCTCAGGTTGTAATAAAGGACTCAAACAACCAAGGTACCGACGCTATTCCAGCATAGCCCCATTGATGAACACGATAGAACCTCGACGACTGTCCAGATTAGCGCCTAGTGTGATTTTGTGCAACAAGGTCATCGCAAATCAACCCTTGGCCTGCTGTGGTGCGCCCCTCATTCTGCTTCCCCCTCCCCTCTCACTGCTCAGATTGTACCTCTCTCCCTTTCCAGATGTGCCAGGTTCCCTGCAGAAATCCAGAAATCCAGAAATGACGTTCCCGTCCTTGGAGATGGGGGGTGACGAAACCACAAGCTTGCGGCCCCCTCATCCCACCCGTGAGCTCCCAGCCAATCACATCATCATTTCTCCCCCAGCGTGTCCAGTCTTTCCATGGAAACGGACTTATTTAGGCGACACACCCTGATACCCTTTTCATGCCACCCGATGATGACACCCCTTTAGGTCATTTTTGGGGGGAGCATACGGTGGGATGCAGAGGGGTAAAGCTGTAGGGTTAGTAAGGTGGTAAGGTTACCAAGGTAAAATAACGTGTATCGTGTTTTTCAGCTTACTACCCGTGTCGTGCCGTGGAGAGTATCTAAGGGAGTACCTATGAGCAGCGCAGACGGTCGCCGGGTACCTGTGGCGTCCGTTGTTTGAGCCACACACAAGAGCTGAAGAAGGTTAGAAACTACCTTTAGTCCATCTCCGTACACCAACCGCATCGGGGACTGATTGACCATGATCGCTCCTCTGTGTCCTTACTGAGATATTTCCTGGAAACGGCGCGCGCAATCTCTGCCGAGCGGCTCATTGCAAACCGGGCCGGAACCCAGTAAGCAAGCCCATTGAGACATTTCCCTTGTCGCTCCCGAGATCGGTTCGTTCAGCCCAGACACGCCGATTCGGCCGAACGACTAAGAAAGAAACCTTGGGGCCTAAAGCGCATAGGCTACACCCAAAAGTCAAACATCAGGTTGTTCAAGGAACAAATAACAAATCCCAGCAACGGGCTGATTGCATTGTTTGCATTTACATGCAGAATGTTTTCTCAACGGTATGCTCTAGCACGCAATGCGCCAAACGTTTTATCACGAGGTTCTATACGCCAAGGCTTGCTTTTACATGCCTCGATTGCAGCACCATAGGTATACAAAGGAAATATTAGTCAAGTTTATACATCTCGTGAACAGAATTAAAGAAATAAATGCCATATCCGTAGTAACCAATCATCAATCCCTCACACACATTAGAGCAGAAGAGCAACGGCAAGGGCAGCGAAGCCACCGACTCCGAAAGCTCCGATCTTGGCAGCTCCAGCCTGGACAGGCTTGCTGGGAACGGGAGCAGCCGTTGTGTAGCTGGGAAACCCGCCCGTGGAGGTGGGCTTGTAGTTGAAGCCGGTACCCGCGAGTGTGGAGTTGTATTTGCCAATCGTGACGGGGACAGTCAGGGTCTTGTAGATGAAAGTCGTCGAGTCATCCTCTTTGCCGGGAACAACGGGTGTTACGGTAGGCTTGGGCGGAGAAAGGCTCCCAGAAGGCTTGCTGCCACCTTGGCTGCCAGTGGGCTTGGGAGCATCGCCAGTAGGCTTAGGGGGTTGGGGCACATCGCCAGAAGGCTTGTTCCCTCCTTGGCTGCCAGTAGGTTTGGGAACATCACCAGTGGGCTTGGGAGGCTGAGGAATGTCGCCAGAGGGCTTGTTTCCTCCTTGGCCACCGGTAGGCTTGGGAACATCCCCGGTGGGCTTGGGAGGGTTGGGGACGTCGCCTGAAGGCTTAGTGCTGCCGGGTGTCGTCTCGGTGTACGGGCAGACGGTGGTGTATGCAGGGACGACCTTGGTCGTGACTTGGCCAACAGGGCAGTTTGGTACATCAGGAGCGCAAGATGTGATGGTGTACGTCTTTGTGGTGAAGACTGTGCTGGTAACCCATTGGGGAGGAGGGCTAATTGTAGGCACGGCGACGGCGGACGACGTTGCCGTGATAGGGCAGACAGTGGTGTACCAAGGAACAGTCTCGGTGACAACTTGACCCTTGGTGCAGGGTACATCGGGCTTGCAAGAGGTAACGGTGGTGATCTTGGTGGTGAAAATCGTGCTTGTGGTCAGCTGTTCGGGGACACTGAGTGTGTTCTTGGCCGACTCGGTAGCTGATTTGGTGCCGGTGGGCTTGTCTGAGATGGACACCGTCAAGGAGTTCTGGGCAGGTCTCGTAGCAGAACCAGTAGCAGAGCCAGTGGCCTTGTTGGTGACGCCGCCAGAGGCAGTCTTTGTCGCGTCTGCTGAGCCGATGGCAGTAGCAGTGGCGGTGTGGGAGTTACCCGCCGTGGTGGTTGGGAAGTCCTCGTCGTCCTCATCGCAAGTGTCCGAAACAGTCGCAGACTTGGTCGCAGAAGCGCTGGCAGTGGCAGTGGCGTTGGAGCTCAACGATGTGATGATTCGCGAAGAAGCAGATCCGGTGGCAGACGCCGAAGAGTTGCCAAAGAAGGTGAGTGAAGCTGAGGCCGAGGCCGAGGATGATGCGGACACAGAAGCAGACGCTGAGGCGGACACAGAAGCGGATGCCGAAGCAGATCCCGAGCCAGATGCCGATGCTGAGCCAGATGCTGAGCCAGACACTGATGCTGAGCCAGTGGCCGACACGGAAGCAGAGGCCGAAGCAGAGACAGAGACGGAAGTCGAGATAGAAGCAGAGGCAGAGGCTGAAGCAGAAACGGATGCCGAGGCGGACTGGCTGGAGCTCGAGGTCGCGGAGCTGGAGCTAGAGCTAGCGCTTGCCGAAGTGGTGGAAACAATGGCAGACGAGGTGCTGGTGGAAGAGATTACGGACGATGTCGAAGTCGAGATGCTGATGGTGGAGGTCTTGGCAGGGATGGGGTTGCAACCGTACTTGAGAGCATCGGCAATGGCCTCGTGGAACGACTGGCCGTTGATCTGGTTGATGGCGCCACGGGTGGCATCCCAGATAGAAACACCTCCAAAGTGCGGCTTGCTCTGGTACTTGCAGATCAAGTCCTTGATCGTGGAAGGAGGAGCATAACCGTTCCATCCAGACTCGACGCTGGCGAGGACACCAATGTAGAGCTTCGCATCCTTGCTCTTGGAGGTCTGAGAAATGACCGTCTCCCAGTCGTCGTAGTTGGGAGTATCGGTGATTTGGCAGCCGGGGTTGTTGTAGAACTGGATGAAGAGGGAGTCGAATTGGGCGTTGTAGATGAGCTCCTTGAGCTGGAACCAGGTGTCTGACGTTGGGCACTGGGGAGCAGCAGAAATGTGGTAGATACCGCAGCTGCGAAGCTTCTCAACCATCTTGATCCAGGGCTTTTGGTCGGCTATTGTTGAAGTTAGTATCATATTTCATCATAAAAAGGGGCAACCTTATCAACATACGATACTTGAACTCCAGGTCAAAGTCGAAACCGTCAACAGCAATGTGCTCAGTCTCGCTGATATCAAAGGGACGAGGGCCGTTCCATCCCTGATCGTAAGGACCAAAAGTCTTGTGCAACAAATCACCAAATTCATGGCCATCCTGCTCACTGTCAATGTCGTAGCTGCAGGGGCCTCCGGTTGGGCAGTAACCACCAATAGCCAGGAGAACCTTGATGCCCTTGGCCTGGCAGTACTGAATATCCTTCTTGATGTAGTCACAGTTCATAATCAACTTGGTGTCTTCGCCAGTCTTGGGGTTCTTGTAGTAAACCTCGCCGCCGCAGTGGCCGGCGAAATTGGTGCCAGGGTATCCAGCGCTGTTCTTGGGAGAGTATGTGACGAAGGATAGAGAGACGGAAGTGACGCCCGGAGCATCACAATAGCTTGAAAGGCGGTCGTTAGTCTGGCCATACTGTCCCCAGTACAGGTTGAGTCCGAGAAGGGGCGAGGCACTTGTGGTTGTCTGTGAAGAAGAATGGGCCAGGGCCGGGCTGATGACCGCGGCGGCGGCAACGAATGACTTGCTGAAGAGCATGTTTGACGTAGTAGTATTAGACAATTAAGTGTTTTGTACGTTGTTCGCAACGATTGTAAGGTGGCCGAGGCCGTAGAAAGAGTGTAGATGTGATCTAAGATCAAAGAAAGGACGCAAACACGAATGTTTGCAAGATGGTGAAGACGCACCGTCGTCTCTAGATCTCAACAGGAACAGAGATGGAGTGAGGAAATCAAGGAAGAGAGAAAAGAGACATTACATGGAACGTCAGGAGAAGACTCCCATTCATAAGTGAACCATTGCCGCTCTCCACGAAGCGGCGCAACGATGTAATGACTAACTACATTGAGGGACGGGTAAAGAAAAATTGCCTAGAGGCAAATTGAGTTGTGGGTGTAAGCCATCATGGCGAGGGGTGCAGGGGACCAATCTCCCCCCTCGTGAGGACTACTCGAGAGGCACGAATAGGCATTGACGCCCACAAGCGGCGCAGACCGCAACGGCGACGATGTGGGATGCGTATGCATTGATGTGTTAGCGGGTGGGTGTGCAGGCAATGCGGGCGACGGCGTGGTGGTGAGCGGAGTTGAAGTTGTGACGATGGAAGAGACGAGGTCCAAAAAAGTGGGCGGCTGTGGGCACACACCAGACGCACCACTTCCCAAACAGGCAAGCGTTTCTACAGTGGTCATCTTCTTGGGCGGTGGTCTAGGCGTGGTGGCTCTTACTGCCCGGCGCACGACAAAGGCGGCCGGTTCCAATGAAGCTGCTGAAGGGACAGGAACAGGACTAGCGTCACCCAAGCGACGTGTGAATAGGGGTCGTTTCTCGTGTTTGATTGGCCGCGTCCCCTGAATTAGGTGGAACTACTGCCTGTCAGCGGCGCCAATGCAGACTTCAAGCACGCTTCAACCACGGTTGGACCTGCAACCCACAGCTCTGGGCCATTGGCGTTGGCCTTTGGTTGCATCGACGACAGAAGCTGGCCGTCGTTCCGGTCTTGAAGCCGTCTTCTCCCTAGCTGTGTCCTCAGCCCAGTTGGTGGAGAGATGGTGAGAGAAATATCCCGCTAAACTGGGTCTCTATGATGGAGATGCCATGGTAGACTTGCAGCCTGTTTTCTGCGAGCACTCGGCCACTCCAGTCTGGCACACTAATTACTTCAGAGAATCCAGTCGAGTTGAGACCAAGCTTCCAAAGATAGTATCTATACGGACACATCTGTGGATTTCCCCGAAGAAGGCGCGACAGGCTGTGAAGATTCTGATTTGGATGTGAAAGGATTGGGCGAGATCACTTACATGAAGTCACCCACACGTGATAAGAATGAGATCTTCTTGGCCCCAACGAACACTGACTTTTGGGTCCAGGAAAGGGGGAAGCTACGCGTAAATTCAGCCGTACCTCAGCTAGACTAATGTGAAGTAGCTCGAGTTTCCCCGTGGAATCACACGTTGTCCGTCTTGGTGGACCGTGGCTCGCGCCTTACCGGCTGAACGGTGGAAGGTGGGAAATTGGTGGCTGCAGCGAGGTGGCACACCGTCCAGAATATTTTGGGACTTTGGTAAACTAACAGCACCAAAGTTCTTTTCACACCCTCCCAGGCCAACTTTCACCACACCTCTCATCAAACGTGCTCTTGCTGATTCTTGTTGGCTGAGCTTGGAATACATCTGTCAATGACGCACGGTAGTACTGCAGGCAGTTGGCTGCCTCCCTCTTACTATTCTAAGGATACAATGCTTGCACGTGTCGCGCCATCGTGGTGTTTTTGAGGCGCCGGGTATCTGCTGTTTCACGCGCCAAGAACGTTAAGAGGACTAGTTGCTCAATGACACCGCTCATCAACGGGTGGCAGTCGGAGACAGATTCCATCCCCATGTAATTGGGTCGGCCCTTTGCTGTGTAGAAGACGGATGCAAATCCCTGCGAGCGGCCAAGGCCACGGTCCGATTCACTCGATGCGATTAAGCAAGAGTTTCAATGCCTAGGGACACCCAAAGAGTTCTTTCCCTAGGCACATTTCATTCCCTGTACAATACTTCACGTGCCAAATATGTAAAGGGTATGATACTTAGGTGTGTTTTTGGGCATCTACTCTGAACCATTACGACTGAAACCCAACTCTCAACCTTTCTGTTTCTAAAGTTCAGTAAGGATTTGATGATGACATGGATGTTGAATGGTCAATGATTAAAGACTTGACCTACTGCTGCGGTTAAGAACATGGAGGTGCCTAATTGGATGAAGATGGAAATCGCGAGGTCGTCGTAACTGAAGTTGGCTTCGGTGTTGTCCGAAAAGGGCAAGAGGAAGACGGGAGGAAGAGACAGGAGTGACCCACATTCCACCTACCCCGCCCGATCCTCGAGGTAACCGAATCACCTGGATGTGTTCAATCCCTGTCGACAGATCTCACTTGCTCCCTCATCTTCATCTCACGACCCTCAAATCGATGTTTGCAGGATTTACACCAGAGAGCTGGGACCGGCAAGTGCCGTTGGCAACACAGAGCAATATGAATTGTTGCGCCTCTGCCGCAATTGCTCCGGCTCATGAGCGTCGTAAGGTATCCCACAAGATCATCGACTTAGACCGCTCACTCGGGATACAAACATGTTCAACGGATCGATGTCAACTGTTCAACTTTTGTTTCAACTTGTTTCATTTTGAAGTTGAGCTGTACCTTACTCTTGAAGAGCCCTGCCGTAAGGTAGTATGCTATCGCGGTTCCTCCCGCTTCTAGGTTGTTCTTTCCAATTGTTGACGCCAGGTAACCTTCAAGTCAAATGCATAGGGTAAGTACCCATCAGTCGCTCCCTCCTTCACTTACACATCTCTCTTCAGGCACTCGAATCTCAAGACCTTCCCAAATCACCCAAACACCACGCTTTCCAGAAATCAAGGAGACAAAAGAAAGATGCGCCACCTCTCCTACAACCTCGCCTCGACCAACTTCACCCCCACGTCATCCCATCGTCCTCGTCGTCGTGATCGGCCAGTCTCTCTTCCTCTGCGCCAAGTTGGCCGATATCTTTCCATCTCAATGGGTTCTGCTCCCATCCCCACTCGATGTGGAAGTCCACACCGCGGGCCTCAAGAAACCATGCCACGAGACACTCTATTGAGCAAGGCGCCGGCGTCGGGCAATCGCTTGCCAGGGGACCTGACGGCATAACCTCGCATCCCGAGAAGTCACGGAGCGCCGGTCGAGAGGGAGTTGCTGCAAGGTCGACCATCTGTTGGAACCGGTCGTACATGTAGAGCCAGTGGCCCATGGCCGCCGCGCTTCCGTACGCAATTTGATCGGTTGGTCCTATTCGAGTATCAGGTCAGCTGTCATGTTACATTATTTCAGGCATCTCGCAGATATTCGCATACCGACACCGACGCGCCCGCTCATACGCGCACAGTAGAAGTAGTGTTCACCTCGAGGGTGTGGCAGAATGAGCGTGTTTGGGCCCAGCTCCTCCAGCGTCTTGAATTGTGGTCTCGCCCATAACGACGTGTCCGGCCGAATCCGCAGTACTGTGTCATGGGTGTAGCCGTTGGTGACACTCCAAGCCCACCACCTCTCCGCCGCCAACGATACGGTTCTCAGCTGATTGTTCAATCTTCCCAGTCTTTCGCCACACGGTGTCGCCGCCATCGCCTCCGTGCCGCCGGGATATTCCACCTCCGTCTCGCTCACAGGCAAAACGTCGACCGATCGCAAGTGTGTGCCATAGCACTCCCTCAGGTTCGCTTCAATGGACTCCTTGGTTCGGTTGAACACATCTACGTCACCAGGCTCGTAGAGCATGTAGGCGAAGACGTCGATCCTCGAGAAAGCCGGGTGGTCGGCGATGAGCTCCGACATGTGCGTCTTGCAGGTAACGTGGTTGGTCCTGTACAGGCCGGCAATGATGACAGCCAGACTGCGCTCCTTTTCGCGCTCACTCGGTGGCACGTACAAATCGCATAGCCCACGAATCGATAGTCTCCCCGTATCCGACAGCTCGAGTTGACCAGAGCTTCTCTTCGACTTGGTGATTGTTTGCGACCCGCCGTCCTCGCTCCGTCCCATAATGCCTCCCTGTGTCTTCTTGCAGGCCGGCTCGAGGTCGCTATGCCAAACCGTCGTCCACGTATTCTTCAACATGGCATTTAATACGACACGAACGTGGCCTTGTTGATTCTCAAGAATGACTGTGCGCCCGCCCTTGTGCAAATCACCTGTCGCGGTCCACCACACGGCATGAGAGCTGCCGTCATCATCAACCCTGTTGAGAACCAGGTCGCCGTCATCCTGCAGAACGAGAGCGTGACGACCGCTAGGCGATGTGAAAATAGGCGTTCCCGCGGACAAGAGGACCCCGTCAGCGTCCGGCGTCATAACAGCTGTACGTGAGCCAGCGCCGTTATCGCCACCATCGCTCCCGGCCGGCCCCTTGGGTGTAGACTCTGGCGTAGGTCGGTGTAAGCTAGGCACTGGTAGTCCGGAGCTGGCGACGTGCCAGTGTGGCTGCAGTACAAAGATCGCGGACAGTAAGAAGATGAAGAAGGCGCCAACGAGTACTTTTGACCGGCGAGAGGAGCCATTCCTCAGTATTGTCCATCGAGATTGGTTTGCGATCATGGTGTGGTCGTGAGTCGGACCCATGGTCCTATGGCTTCTGTTAAGTTTCCGCTCTCTTACTGCTGTTCCCGCTTGCTCCTCGTGCTGATGTTGTGAAGGAAATGAGTTGACAAGAAGGGAAAAAGGTATAATTTCAAAAATCCTTCAACGGCCCTTTCGGTATGAGTACAGGTGAAGGGATCCGATCTGGGTCCCTCTGCAGGAACTTGAGCGAACACCCCGCGCTATATCAGATGACGCTCGAACCGGCCGTTGAGCTCAGACCTCCTCCTTTTGGCAGGGTGAGTAAACAACTCCTGCGATCTGTGGACACAAGTGGGTTGGGCGAGAACGAAAATAGACTTTGTGTTTTGTTGCGACGACTCGTAAGCTGCCTTTTCTCGCCAGAGCAGCCCAGCGGACGGTAGCCGAGGCGGCAGAGGGCGGGCACTTCTTTTGGTCGGTGATGGAATCGCCCGCTGCGCAAATCTTTTTCCCCACAAGCCAATCCCGGTCCAGAAGAAGAGGCAAAAAGATTAGGCAAGGCCAGGAGCATAAAAATCGTGGAGAAGGAAAAGCTCAGAGACGGGACGAAGAGAGTTAAGAACCCTCGTCAAAGGTCAACGCAGCAATTCTGAGACGAAGTCAGGGGGGAGGTTCTGGCGTATGAATTGTACGGGAAAGTCTTGGCGGTCCGGACAGCCCGGCGATTGCCAGCAGAGCAGCAAACTCAGAGACAACCAAACTTTTGGAACTGAAATGATCTTCGAGGCTCGGCGTCCCAGCGTAGGGATGGCAGGACTAGGCGGTAAATTAGGACATTTTGCGTGGACGGCGTGGGCGGAAGAAGGAAAGAAAAAGGTTGTTTGATTACGCCCACTACTTTGGGGGCCAACAGAGCCGCCCAGCAAGGCATCCATCTTTTGGAAGGACAATATCACCAATCATCTAGAGATTTGAGGTCTCTGGATAAGGCCAAGGAGATTTGATCGCCGCAAGTGAGAAAGCAAGGATGGCGAGAGGCTGCGGGTAAGATTTTGGGCCAGAAGCACAACACGGCGCGAGCTTGGGGATACGCAAACACTTTCGAGGTTGTCGAACATGAACTCGAGGCCTCGAGAGTCTAGAGCAACAATCGTACGGATACACGTGTAATACGTGAGCCGGGCGAAAGCTTGGGAAGATGGCACAACCAATCGGGCGGCTGCCTTTTGACCCTTGACGTGGACTCAGTGAGGCGCAAGAGGGCGACGACGCAACTCTCTAGCCCCCGTCTCCCAATGGCGCGCGACTTTTTGTGGTCGTCGTGTCTTTTTTAGAGCGAAACGTACGCCCGTTTTGTTACCAACGAGAAGAGCCTCCTGGCCATGGCTTTTCACCCTTACTTGGCGTTGTTGTTTCTTCTCTTATCGGGCGACGAAGCAAGCGGGATGGGAAAACCGCAGCCAGGCGAGTAACCGCTGCTTACACCCTAAGGTAGACACAACACCCATCACTTAAAGTACGAGGGACAAAGGTGGTTAGTCATGTTGCCCGACTTCAGTAATCAAAAACGGGAGCCACTTCTGTCGCTTTCTCTTCCTGCTCTATTTCTCTTTCTAACTTTCTACGAAGCGCCGTAGGCCGCCTCGTCAAGATTAGAGATCTTGGCAAAGCAGACGGGGGACCGCCAAGAAACCCTCTTTTTTTTTTGGCCCCGAGTGCCCTGACTAGGAACGCCTATCGGGGAATCGGGGGCTAACGGGCTAAGGTAACGAAAGCTCTCGACTATCGATGGTGTCTGTGCCGGCGCCGAACGCAAGTTTCTTAGTGCAGAAGAATGTTTTTCTTTCTCGGGGGGGTTGTCTGAAGATGTGATTCCATGCCGCAGTCCCTTGCTGAAGTTACTATAGTTGAAAACTTGAAAATGCAGAAGAGAGACAAACGAAGGTAGATTGCCGATATAGTAGATAAGGTAAAGAGACAGCCGTGGCTTTGTAGGAGAAGGAAGCTCCTGGAGTCCCAGGGCCCAGGTAAGGGGTCAGTTTCGCAGAATCAAAAACTCTCGAGCCCTGGACCTGGGACGCGGACGCGGACGGAGGGGAGGGGAGGGACGGGAAGTGCGCGGGTATCTTTTTTTCTCTCTGTCGCAGTGCCGTGAATGCGACGCCAAATTGCAGAACTGCACCCTACGGCGCCTGCGCACGACGGTTACTACGTAGGCAGGTTCCATTTCTGCGGCGCCTGTCTGTGCCGCACGTACCCTTGATTCTTCGTGAACGACGTCGCGCAAGCGTGTACTCCGAAAGAGGCGTGCTCCCGTCGGCAGTCTTGGTTGGTCTACTGGGGCTTTTTTTCTACGAATACTTCGTTAGCCGAAGGTTCGTGGTTTCGCACTGCCCTCAGGAGGTTCCCCCCCCCCCTTTTCTGTGCATCCCGAGTGCGCCATCGTATTGCTGCAAGAGTTATTCAAATCTCCAAGCTTAGTAGTAGTAGACATGAAGCATGGTACTTGCTTCGAGTTAAATACCCACGGTGATGCTACACAGCATCTGGAGGTTATGGGACTTGAGAGAGAAGGATCTAGACGAGCAGATGCGAGGAGTGGGATACGTTAACTCCATACCGCGTTCGAGAAAGTACTTCTCCTCTTTGCCCGCGGAAGTGTGAAGCCCCCCTCCAGCCTCCAAATCAAAGGCAGATGCTTGTCGCATCTTGACGGCTTCGCATGCACGCATAACGCATCACAGAAAGAGAACAATTCCCGAGTCCAGACCGCTGGGTCTTCAAGCGAGGCGCAATGATTTGAGAGGGCCACCGGACGACCAGTGTCATCCGCCCCGTCGGTAAACGGTGACGATAAGGACGGTAAGACCGGACCTGACGTCGTTGTAAAGGGGCCGTGCGGCCTTCTCTTTCCCTCTTCCTTTCTCTCTGTCTCCCAGACCTGTGCTTCCAGAAGTTCCGATTCCATCCAAGAGAGACGTCAAACAAGTCATCGTCGTCAAGAGAAGTCCTCATCATTTGGGAAAACCTGGTCGAGAGCCCAGCGTTTGACTAGTTTTCACAATCATGACGCGGCAGAGACGCGGCAGCGGCAGCTTATGCGGGAACTAACGAGTGTTGGTATCCAATAGTGTATTGATATTAGCTTTAGTGTATATTTTAAAGAGAGAAAGATGGCGAGTTTTCCAGGAGGGAAGAAAAGGGGGCTTGCTTTGACAAGCGAAGCAAGCCACGATGACGACTCTTCTGTGCTAAACACTCAGATCAAGAAGTCAACATGAATCTTCCATCAACCCCCCTCCCGCCTCTTCGACCAAAAACTGCATATTTTCAATGGAGTCTTGACCTTACACGGTCCTTTCAGGCATACGCCGGAGGCTCAGCAGCGGCCATCTGCCTCTTGCGCGCCGCGTTGATGGCCTTCAACTTGGCCGTGCCGAGACCAGCAACACCGTTCTCCTGGTTGTCACCCAGCCACGGCTTCTTGGAATCACCCAGCATGCTGCCCGCGAGGAAGTACGCGACCTGGCCGAGGATGATGAGCACAAAGGCGATGGGGTACATCCAGTGGATGGAGTAGCCAAAGACGTTGACGCCGATGATGATGCCCCAAAAGTTGCCCGTCAGCAGCGAAATGTTGTAAAACGCGGCGCTGGCCATGCGCAGCAGCAGCGGCACCAGGCTGTAGAAGAGGCAGAGCGCAAAGGTGTAGCCGAGGAGGTAGCCGATGGCGGGGCCGTTCCAGGTGGCCTCGCGGAAGGACTCGCGGTCAAAGATGGCGGCCTGGACGCCGTTGATGCACATACCCCACATGCCCATGAAGGAGAGAACCTCGTAGACGGGGCGGCGGCTGACAAACCACTCCTCTGCGACGTTGGTCACACCGTACAGGGTCGCGCCGAGGAGGGCGAATAGGTCGCCCTTAACCATGTCGATCCCGGGACCGCCGTTGGAGCCGGTGATGTGGTCGCTAGCGAGGAGGACACCGCAGCCGCCGATGGCGACGATGATGCCGACGATCTGGAAGACCTTGTAGCGGACGCGAAGGAGGAAGAACGAGAGGATGATAACGACGACGATGGCCCAGAAGTTGAGGAGCTGGGCCGAGAGGATGTTGGTGTAGCGGTAGGCCAGGACGGTGAAGTAGTTGCCTTCGACATCGAGGAAGGAGAGGATGAAGTACTTCCAGCCGTCGCGGAGGAGGAGCTTGCCCCACTTCTTGAAGCCGTACTTGTAGATGGTAACGGGGAAGTAAATCAGAAACAGCAAGATGTAGTTGAAGACGGTCTGGAAAGCCGGGATGGAGACTCCATTATTAGCGAGAAAGGAGGTGAAGGTGTTTGTCGAAGTGATGCACAGGGCAAGAATCTGGCCGATGATGAGGACGATCCAGAAATCGACCGTGGTGAAGTAGCTCCACCAGTGCACCTTCCGAGCCTCGATGTCGTGCAGACCCTGGCCTACGAGCTCGGACTCGTCGTGGCCGGCGGCGATTTGTGTTGTCGTCACCGGGGCGGTGTTGAGGTTCTTGGTGGTGTCGTCGTCGGTGGCCATGGTGGGCAACGGTGCGTAGGCGTGACCGGGTCCGGTATTGGTTTCTGTGTTCCTGGTGAAGGGTAGGCGCGGTAGCGACAGAATGGACTCGAGTCGACGGGATGCTATGCTAGGCATACAGCGATCTGGGGTGAGGTTAGTCGTCTATTGCCTTTCCCACACGTAGATGTATTGGGGATCATCTTGTTTGCTGGGTTTATTCTACATACCTTGGTACGCACACGAGGGTATTCAGACGATAAATCGTCTGCGCGAAACGATCTCAACTCTCAGTCGAGTTTCGTTCTCGCGATATGTGATTATTGGTATGGATTTGTAGTGATAGTAACTGCTCTGGTCTTTCTCGTCCCCTGGCAGCAAGCGCAAAGACTCAAGTCGCTCGCTGTTTTGTCTATCTTACGATAGCACGGCACATGGACGATGCGCCGGGAATCGGTATGCGAAGAAGTTGGCCGAGACGACGCGCAACATATGATGATCGTCGTAGGGGTTCGAAGCGGTTTGCTGATGCCTTTTGGTGAGGCAGCGCGTGATGTAGTCGATTTGGTACCAGCGCAAAACTTTGTTTCGGGCTTTCGCAACAGAGGGAAGGGGAAGGAGAAGGAGGAGGAAGAATGCGACAAGAGGGTTGGAATTTTATCGCGGCAACATCCCAGTCGGTAGAGAACCAACAGCCCAGCAGAAAAGAAAAAAAAAAACTTCAGCTGCACTATCGCCCTAGGGAAGGTGGTGGTGGTCGGGATGCAGTGGTGGGGAGCTATCGCAGTCGCCACGAGCCTCGAGAGGGGGCCACGGGGGAAGGCCCGCCAGTTTCCTTCTTCATGTGACGCTCCCGCTCGCCTGAGTGGTCCGGCTCCTACAAGAACCACTGCGACAGCTGCACCGCAACCGGCCCAACGTGGCGGGACCGGCCGATTTTCAACCATTTTCCCACCCAGCGGGCCACCGCCTTCCCTCCCAGTGGACGGCGCGCCGGCCAAGACGTCCTTTTTGGGGGGTCCTGACCCCCGTCCGTCAGCGCACTTGCCCGGGATCTGGGTTGCACATGGCCCGTGTTGGCGTGCTTTTTGGGTGCGGTGGTGGGGTACTGCAGTGGGCGGCAACCGCGGGCTCGGCAGCGGGGTCTCTCCAACTCTGTACTTGAATCCTTCGGGAGCTCTGCGCATCAACCTCTCAAGTTCTTCTCTCCAACGTAAATCAAGAATACCTACAAATAGCGATGGCGAACTCATTCATGCCTGAAATCTCGACCGTTTGAAATTCACGTACCAAAGCCTGGGGGCCCTAGCAAATACGATACTTCTTAGCTTCCAATCTGCTACACTATGGCTTCTCTATTTCGAGAAATTTACTTGGACTCATCATTCAGCGCTTGATAGTCTTTTGCCATGCCGAATCTTTCAAACATACGAATGGTGCGAGGATTCTGGTCTCTGTTAGGTAAAAGGGATAGTACTTTGTGGACTGCCTTAAGCATCTAAACAAGTACTCAGAGCGTAACGACTGACGAAACTACATAATTGTAACTTCGTGAGCTGCACAGGGATAAATACCTGCTATTCCATTCTAGTGTTATTTCTCAGATATCTACCTCTTGCGTTGATCGCCTTCCTACACGCTGCCACTTGAACGCAAAAGCCCACAACATGGTAAAGTGCGTAGAATCCAAAGCTGATTTGCACGAGAATGGCTGCTAGTCCGTCGCCCCATCCCTTGCTTGGTACACCAGCTACATACTGAATGCTTATGACATAGGAGCAGTTGATTCCCAGTGCCCAGATCCAATACATCAATCTTCGGCTGGTGCGATGCGTGGTGTTATGCGGCGTCTCGAACCACTCATCAACTGCGAGCCCCGTCAAGATGACAGAGTGACATGCAACAGGATAGGTAGCAAGTATCAAGTAAAACATGCCACCCTTGATTTGGAAGAGGTAGACTAAAACGTCTGCCACTTTTCCATCTGTCTCTAGAATGTATTTTCCTTCCGATGTATAAGTCCAAATTCCAGGAACCAGGAAAGCATCGGTGGCAAACCAAAACAGGAAGAAGACATGTGTCCAAATCGTCATGAAGCTAGAAGTCATGCAAGGCGGCATCCAATCAGTCTCGATGTAATAGTTTCCCAATAAAATATTTCGGCCATTGATACGTCGGTTCTGATTAGTCGATGCCTCGATATTTGTTGCGTCAGTACGGCTCGGCTCATGGTGATTCTGTCTTTGGGCAGCCATTTCCCTATCGCGCGTCGCCATACTTGTCAATTCCAAGGTGTCTTCTTGAGAATGTCGACGATTTCTATGTCCACTGGAAGTATTCTCAAGCACTGTATTTGATACCTCGGGTCGTCCAACTGATAGGTTTGCTCCAGCGGTCATCTCAGCCGAAGTGAAGGTTCCGAGCAGGGCAACGAGGGGCGCAGCCAGGAGCAGAACAGGCAGAAGCTGGCCGAACTCCCATCTTGTGCTGGGCTTTTCTCCCTCTTCCTCTCGAGTATACCATTGCTCGTCGTTATATGCTGTCAGAACTTTGGAGGTTCCCCAGAGAAGAATTGCTAGTAACCAGCTAAGCTGTACAAGAGTCAGCCAAGTACAGGAAACATGACATTGAACTTACTTCTCCGAGCATGGAATTGAAAAGCTCGAAATTTGCCGACACGACTAGAAGAGTCGCAAGTACAGGTCTCACCACCAAATGCCGCCATGCATCAGAGATGATTTGATCGAGGTACTGTCTTCTACTGGCCTGTCTCTCATGGTTTGGAACCAAATTGTCCAGCTTCGTGAAGCAGTCAAGCGCGTAGTTGCTTACTGGCAAGGTGAACCTCCGATAGATTGTGCTAGAAGCACGACCTGACAGTTTGACTGCCCTCGAAGCAAACCCGAAGACGAGTAGGACTGTTGAGATAACCATTTCTTGCAATGCAGACGATTTCCCCAACCGACGGCAGTCGAAGCCATCGAGATAAGAGGGGAAATCTCGTAGACAGTTTGACTGTTGTTCTGATTCATTGGAAAATTTGTAACAAAATTCTGTGCAATTCCTCCTGAAACTCTCTCGATAGAGTTGCTCTCCACAAGCCAGGTTGAAGAAGCACGCCGCAGGCGATTTGGCTAAAGCTGCAGTTGGCTGAGGATCAGTAGAGTCAGCCCGTGGCGATTTCCAGTTGAAGAAACCGGATGGGATCATGGCCACTATGAGAATGAATAACAGGGTAAGCATAAGGGTGATTCGCAATGACCTTTCCAATGGGCGTGTCTGGAAATACCTCCTCAGGACCGTCAGACCAGACAAATGGGTGACACTGGAAAACCAAGCCAGGTAGGTGATGATCTGCCAATGGAGAGCCGATAGGTGTTCGTCCAAGCATATGAATCCGCCGATGAGAATGCTCATTCCTGTGATCATTTGCACATCGCAAATGGCGATTATGCACTGAACGCAACAGGTTACATGACTGTCTTGTTTTCTCTTAAGATTCAAAGAGGACACTCGGCGACTCACCATATCGAAACAATGCCTGACGCGCTTCGAGCGACTTTCGCTAGCGAGTGGGAGTGATGCTCCCGCAAAGATCAGAAGCCTTGCCACCCATGTTCTAACCAAAGCGAGAAGATTGACGTCGACCAGATTCGGTCTCAAATCGATGCAATCCCTAGAAATGTAGACATTTGTGCTGGGAGGCCCTGGGATATTCCCTGGTAGCCGTTCTAGACTCGTTGCTTGGCTTTGTCTCTCGTCATCACTCACCTGTTGCACCGGAGAGAGGTCTGGATCGTATGCTACGAAGTAGTGAACCACTAGTAGGAGGAAGACAAGATATCCTGTTCCGACGAACCCAATAAGGACCTGTGAAAAAAATTCTCAGTGATGTTCAGTGTCTTGTTCATTGAGGGCTTGAGCGATGGGTCCAAAAGCTTACCCCTCGACCAGCTATATCACTGTTAGGCTCCCAGGCGCCAGGTGATGTGCAGTTAAGCTTGGATGGACATAGAGATCTGGACATTCTCAAAATATGATCATCAACTCTCTCTATGGTTCATTATTTTCGACCAATAGTAATGCTATATTAAGCTTCATAAAATTGGAAACAACCACGGGCGAAACTTGTCCTTCTTATTTCAATAGCTGCTTGATCTCAGGGTGCGATGATTACATAGCAATCCTGATAGCGATGCTGCAGAATTGAGACAATGGCTCCTTTGGATCGTCATGCGCCCAAATGACAGGGAGGTCAGCTTCCCTTTCCATTTAGCAAATTAAGATCATTGATTTTCTGGCAGGGAGTTGAGATATTGCCCAAAGGATCAGTTCGTATCACCGCGATGGCGGTCATGGCGGACTAATTTAGATCAGGCTGGCCTATCGCTACCAGCCTGTGCCGCTGTGCATATCGTGAGCTGCATAGCGTTCTGCAAGTGCAACACCCACTCGGTTTGGAATCCGATCGAACGTAGGCAAAAAACATAAAAATACACCCCGACTTTCAAGTCATATTATACACGACAAGTCGCCTCAACTACCTATTTGAAGTGGTAAGTACAGTGGTGCGCGAAAAGGACGGCACCCGTCGGGTTAGCATCGGCTCCGGCTTTCGGCCCCACCAGGACAGCCGGCCTACCCCGGACCATGAGGCCAAACCCCCGAAGCTCCGAAAGTCAAGCTGGTTCTGAGGTAGAAGGTTACCAAAGGTTCCTTTGAATATTTACGTAGGATTCCGATCAAGTTTTGTGCGGGGAACCCCTAGAGTTGATAATTCACGGTGGGCAGGTAGTCACGGGCTCGGTGATTGGAGACACTTCATTTCTCGAATCCTTCCCAAGCTCTGTAACCTCCTTCATAAGCTGGGTTATCTATATATTTCGAGCATCCCCGCATGTGGATGTTCAAAGGGACTTTGCTGAGAAATTTTTGGCAGAGGCGTTTCAGTCATCGCTAACCGCCAAAGGGTAAGCTTTTCTGTGCATCTATGGTCAACTAGGCATAACAACGAGGTCGAGGAGTTCAAGAAATAATGATTTCAGCAGGTCTCCCCGTCTACATGAGCCCTTTTTCTCATTTCATAAGCCTCCTTAGGCTATTAATCAGAGATACGAGTTTATAGAGCCCGTACAGTACAATCGTGACAAGAATGACTGATCGTGTCTTCCGGCCTGAATTGACCACATCCCCACAGGTAATCCAAGTGTACAAGCCATATAACAGAATTGCGAAAAGCCAAAAAATAGCACTTGTAAAACAATATCCGAGTGTTCCAGAAGACCTACCTGTCCAATCGGGGACCGATAGTCCGGCTAAGATGGTGGCATGTCCAGCGAATGGTCAGCTTAAGAGAGCCGAATAGAAGACGCCTTCCTCTGTGAACATGTACTCCGTTGGCGTCCAATACGGCAAAAGCCACTCAGATCCTGCATAGATACCATTGAAGTTAAAAGACATGCAGTAGAATGTCGAGGTCGCATAACGTAAGAGAGAATATACATGTACACTTATCACAACGAGGCTTGAAGTCAAATAAGGCAGCATCCACTGCGTTTCGGGATACACATCCCTCGAGATAACAAAGGATAGACTCATATTGCTTTCGCTATTGTCTTGTTCCGTCAATGCATCGTTAGGAGAGTTTCCTGCCATACGTTTTGCCATCATGGTCGACACGGAGGCCTGTTCGGAGCTCTGGGCTCGATCGGTGCTAGGCGCAGAACCTTGTGTGGACTCCACATAGTCTGTATTACGATCTTTGCATTTTGGTTCCGAGATTAATGAGCCGAACAAGGTAATAAGGGGTGCCGCCAGGAGGAGCATCGGAAGCACCTGACCAAACTGCCAGCCGGTGCTTTGGGGGCTGTTCTCCGGTACTTTTGTGAACCATCGTTTGACAGCGCCAGCAACGAATAGCTTCGAGGTACCCCAGATTAGAAGCACCCAAAGCCAAAGTATCTGATCATCAGAGTTGATTAGCTATCTTGGTGTCATGTAGAGTATCGGGCTTACCTCTCTCAACATGGAGTTGAACAAGTCAGCTTGCGTACGGGATAAGATAGCCACTGAAATTACAGGCCTAATCATCAAAGCATACCGCAATGATTTGGTGTCTAACATGGCCGTTGTTCTACCAACTGCATAGTCTCGACGGAACACGAAGTTCTCTAGTCTTTTCAATCCGCGGCGGACAAGACTACCACAAGGAACGACGACGTTCCGTTGCATTCCCTCAGACAAGCGTGTCGGGAGCTTTCAAGCTCTCGCGAGGAATCCAGTACCAATGACTATTTGTGAGATGAGCATCTCCACAAAAGCAGGCGTATGGCTGATAGGTATGACGGTGTTCTGTCGTTGGTAGAGAGATTTTCCGCAGCCGATAAAGAAAAGAAAGACTACCGAGGTACCGATATTAGCAGCGCTGTCGTGTTTGTGTTTGATGCCTTCCTCCCAGTTGAAGAATGCCGTCGGTACCATGACCACATTGAGCATGAGCAAGAGGATCAGCATCAATACTAGACGGGCATATCTCGCCCACCTCTCTTTCTACAGATGTCTTCTCAACACCGTCAAGCCAGACATGTGGGTGACGCAAGAAAATCAGGCTAAATAAGCAATCGTTTTCCAGTGCATGGCTGACAGGCGATCATCCATACATATGAAGCCACTTGCAACAATGTTTATACCGGTCATAGTTTGAACGTCACACATGCTTAGAATCGACTAGGGAAAGCTTCATTCAGTCATATATTTCAACTTCATCCGAAGCAAAACCTTACGTGGTCGAAGCCGGTTTGTATGCGTTGACAACGAGTTATACCATAGACAGGCTTTGGGGCCCGGCACTTATCAAGTACTTTCCTGATTCGAGACCTCAGCCAAGCCAGTAAGTTTACATCAATCGGATTCGGAGCCCAACGAAGTGGAGTGGAAGATTCATCTTGGTCCGCCGATCCACTCGTCGATACCCGATGCACGGTAGACTCAAGCTGGCGTTCGATGCTGATATGTCGGGGTGGTGGTGGGACTTCTGGATCGCATGCGACGAAGTAATGTGCCAGGATGAGAGCAAAGACAATGTACGCTGTTCCAACGAAGCCTACAATCACCCGGGTAAAGGTTAGTGGCGTCAGACAGAATCTTCTCGCAAGGAATTGCAAACGCAAACGCTGATGCAATACTCGTCGACGTTCAGACTTACTCTAGTTCCTGGTACATCGCTAATCTGCTCTTCGCTCTTATCGCGTGTGCAATTGAGACCTACAGAACACCCATTAAGCTCCATAGTAGGAAGAAATGGAATCAGTAGAGTGGTGTGAAAATGTGGGATGGGTTATCTAGTCTGTCGGCGCCTGCCAGCGAAGATTCGTGGGGCATGTAAGGCAATACCATGGGGGGGAGAAGATAACAAATAGCGGTAAGCTAGGTCACAGCTAATTGCAGAAGACTTTTGAATTCAGACTCTGATAGACCTGTGTTCGGGCTGACGTGGAAGATCACAAACTACACAATCTTCGAGTGTTGTGGCTCCTCGTTGCACCTGTACAGTCATCTACTTGCCAGTGACTCCCGGCCCAAGCCCATGCTCCCAGCATCACAATACACATTCGGGCTTTTGGCGTTACGGAGGCTCCGTAGATTGCGTTGCGAATTCAAATCTTGCTACGGAAACTGCGCTATTGCTAGTCATGTCCTCTCAAGGGAAATGAGCAAGGCTGACAACTTTCGGGTGACGAATTTCAACCTGAGAGACACCTTTATCAACTTGGAAGGAGGCAGATCAATATCGATGCATTGAGAAACTTTGATGAGAAAGCGCGGCTTTTGACCATAGGTGCAGGTTATTCGAACTAACCCATCCGACTCCCCATAGCGGCGAGCAGCGACAACAATCTTTCATCGGCAGGCTTGAACCCGGCCCCACTCGGGGCCGAATCACAGTGCAGTCGGTCTTCCGGAGCCACCCGATGGACTACTTCAACTACCGTTGCAATGACACTTGGGAAGTGGCACGAGTTTCCATGCCAACGTTTTAGTTAGAATAACCTTTCTCAATTAATACCCGGACAGTTACAACCAAGTTCATATTTGCCTTTCGTTAACACCAGTGTACATGACGTCGGATCAGACCGGTCGTGGAAAGGAAGTATCATCCTAAAGTAAATTGTATGTCACAAGCAGACAGGTCTTCTGACAACGCACTTGGTACTGCCCGAATCTTTGGACCATAAGTACTACTATGCGCGAGTACAACTTGGCAAAGCTTCCTTCCTTGGCGTACTCGGGCACAATTTTTGCCTGCCATCCTGCCGCTGGCTCAAAGTGACCGGAAACCCCCAAGCGTAAAACCTTTTTGAGATAGACAGAGGATAACGTCAGTTATGGCGTCACCAACGAAACTTTTGCCTGTGACAGAAGCAGCGCTTAATTCCATCCGATCCCGGATCTGATTAGCCTTCCTCGTCAAAAAGTACAGATTGTCTCCTGCCGATTGTATATACTGAACGTGGAGCGAAAACAATGGCAGCGAAGGAGAGGTAATCATGAGGGCGTAAGCGGATTGGTAATCTTGTGTATTTGGTATATTTGATTAAAAAGTATGTTATCCTGTGTCTTTACTAGACAGTTGCGCCAATAGCAACAAAACAGGCCATGATCATAAACTTTTTCTTCCTACTTCTTCCGCCCATCTTCATTAAGTCTAGACGTCCAGTTGCTTTAATTCATCCTACACATACAATCCCTATGGCGTAGTTTCATCTACACGGTATGTGCGTACATGCTACCCCTTTCCAGGAGGCAGTTCCTTCCCATAACCATCGTCAAATGTCAACCCCTTTACAGAGCAGCAACGATACCAGCAATGGCAGCAAGGGCAAGGCCGCCAACAGCGACGCCGCCCTGGGGAGCAGCGTTGCCGGTGGAAGTGGCAGTAGCGCTGGCGCCGGTACCGGTGCCAGTGACAGCAGTAGAAGCGGTGCGGGAGACAGAGAGAGTAGCGCTGCTGACGGAAGCAGTGGCGTTACGGGCAGAGGTGACGATGGCAGAGGCGGAAGCAGAGGCAGAAGACAGAGCGGCGCTCGCGCTGGCGCTGACGGAAGCGAGAGCAGAAGAGACGGCACCGGAGACGGAAGCGGCGGCCGAGGAGGCAGCGGCGGAAGCGGAAGCGGAAGCAGAGGCCGCAGCAGAGGTAGCGCTGGGCTGGGCAGAGCCGGCGGTGGCAGCGTAGGCGGCGCAAGCAGCAGCGGCGGCGGACTGGGCCTTGCCGAGGTCGGCAGAGTTGCAGGCGGCGAGCAGGCAGGACGCGGCGACGGGGACGAGGGCCTCCTGCTTCTCCTTGGTGCACTGGCAGGCTGTATCGGTCAGGGCGCAGCCAACCTTGGGGATGGCATCGGTAAGGCAGGGAATCTGAGGGGAAGGAATGTTAGTTTGGGTTCATAGGGATGGCCTAAGGATTGTAACGTACGGCGCAGGAGGGCTGGCCAGAGAAGTCCTGGGCGACGACAAGGCCGGCGGCAACGAGGGCGAGAGTGAACTTCATTGTGAACGTTGTGTGGTTGTTGTGAGTATTACACGGTATTAGGTTGATATATCGGGTAAGATATAGGACGTGACGAGGTGGACGACGTTGAGATTAGTGGACGTGAAGTTGAGCAAGACAAGAATCAAGAAGAGGCAATCAACGTCAACCCGAGAAGACGGGATGGGCCATAAATATGAGTCCAACGCGCGCCAGCAAGCCACCACGTTCCTTCGAGAGAGACAGAGACAAGAGCGAGCGAGTGAGAGAGACCCCTGGCCCTGACTCTGAAGCTCTTCCCCTTCTGCCCTCTGCTCGCAAAAAGCTTATCCCAAATATCCGCACCGCGCAGCGGCGGGCGCGCGACGGCGGCGTCTCCAATATCCATTGGGGTGGACTCGTGGAGGGTGGAGGGTTACGTTAGCTCCGCTTGGGGAGGCGTTAGCTTTTCGCTTTTCTGCTGGGGCGACGCGACCTTGACTGGCGAGCAAGGGGGTGTGAACCTTGGGGCCGTCGAGCTACTGCGAAGAACACACACTGGGACTTGGGATCCTGGACCTGGACCCATTCGACCTACAACTAGACCCTAGGCTACGGACCGGGTTCTGGCCAGGAACATGCAACCATGATCTCTTTGGTCAATGGCAAGTTGGCTCCGGTTGGAAAAGGGTTGGCAGGGGCAGAAGAGACGGGGAATCAGCGTGATCATTCTCGAGCTGGGCGAGTGAACTGATTTGTGGCGCCGGTCATTGAGGTGACATCCAATTGACTCTTCTGGCTACAATGGAACGTCAGCGAATTGCTGTTTGATGTACGGATAGGTATCCCTTTTTCGAGCTCATTCGAACAACGGGCTGGCGCGCAAGGAGCTGGATTCTTTCGCGAGGTTGTCCACTATCCAGCTATCTTGCTGTCCAGCTGTCTAGCTGATCCACGCTGTCTCGCGGTCCGTCCGTCCGTCTAACCAACTCACGCTTCAGCTCTCTAGCTCGTGTCCTGACTCTCGATTGCCCGTCGACCTTGGCTTAGCGTCCAGCCTCATCAAAAGTGTGACAGCCGAAAGACGACTACGAGACGGACGAAATACGGGCATCTGTGCGTTTTGATTGGATGGCAGGTGGCTTGAGCCCAACCAAGAACGCGTTGAGCCGGCTGGCTGTGCTGAGACAACCATCGGATTGCATCGAACTGCCTCGACTTGCCCATCATCTATCTGCCCTGTGGCGTCGGCACTTTTCCTTCCCATCAGTCCTGCTTTGCCCCCGGTGCCCCCTCGGAGATTCTGTCAGTCGGTGTGTCTGCCGCTCTCACTTTCTTTAGCTAATCGGCCGCCGGGCAAGCTATCCGCACAGAGATGACTTAAGTTGTCAAGGCCCGACAAACCTGACGCGTCGCCGTCTTGGTAGTAGTACAAAGCACCCGAAAAGAGCGAGTTGATGGCCGGCCGGTTCTACGACCTGAGTGCCGGGCTGGCATGACATCGTGTGAGGTGACATGCGGGACCAGCAGACCAGGGGCCAGGGGCCAAGGGTCGGTCAGAATACTTACCACACGGGGAAACCCAAACCAGAGAGACCAATGGCCGTTTTTGCCGTACTGGTGACTTTGGTAAGGAAGGAAGAGAGAGAAAGGGCCCCACGGTAAACACCTGATTTGACCAATTTCATTAGAGTTTGTCACTGGCAATATGTTCCTTGCAGCAAAGAAACAATGAATTACTCTATTCTGCAGGTTGCCTAGGCGCCTTCTGGTAACTCTGTGGCCGAAGAGACTGGGATGCATACTGTAGAGTTTCTGATTAATTTTACTGAGAAGGAAAGAGAAAGGTTAGTTAGAAAGGCAAAGAAACATTGAACCTTCTAGACTTGCCTTATCAGGCGAGGGGTTTTCTTTACTCACTCAAACTCATCTCGGCTGGTTCAATCATCAAGAAAGATGGCGCTGCCGCGATACCGCGCTGCTGAATGCTGGCACTCTGCCGCTCTCCACGCACATTCTGTAGCCGTTTCTCCTGACCGCCAACTTTGCCATGTGTTGCAACACGCAACCCGGCAGCGAGCCCGTGGAGTAAACACGAACGATATTAATAACAGCAAGCCAACTCCTCGACGACTTGGAAGCTTCCCCGACCTTCGGCTACCAAATAAAACGTGGAGTTCGCTTCGGTACCAACGTTCGGACCTCTTGCTCCTAGTCGCTGCTCGACTCACACCTTGGAAATCTTCCTTGTGCTGCTATGCCGATCCCCGCTGGCAATAAACCCACTCGACACGAGCTCTGATCCCCGTCTTATTGTGCCCATGTTTGTGCCATGCAACTCCCCGCAACGATTCTCTTGTGGCCCGAATATCAACAACCGATGAAGCGTTTCTTTGTTTATATTCCGGTAACTCTGAGCAATGTCCGACTTTCTCCACTATTCATATTCTTTGCTCGTACGCGAAAGCTCGTCCCGTTTAAGGTCGCATCTAGCTGCCATGCTCACTCCCCGCCCGGCTGGTCATGTCTCGATGAAGCCCTCGATCGTGAACGCTCCGCAAGTCGGGGCTGGAAAGTCTCCGGTGGGTTGAATTGGGTTCGTTTTGTCCGGGGGTGGCGCTTGCATTCTTCAACTGCATGCGATAATCACTTGGACGGCCAAAGGTCGAAGAAGCTGATGAGGAGGCGAGCATTCATCGAAGATCAAGAGCGCCGAAGTGAACTGGGAGAAAGGTTATTTCTACATTGTCTACATCTATTCTTACTACTTAGCAGCCCCGCGTGCTTGTACCATTCAACCAGAAACACTTTTCGGCTTCTTATCCGCGTGTCTCAAGTCCATCTAACGCTCGAAGGCGCGACACAGTATCCATGATCCGATGTCAGGACCAATTCTCCATTGAATATCTTGACCCACGGGTCGAGGTAGAAACGGAAGCTTGGCTTCTCACCCTCAATTTCGTAGACCCGCACGATGATGAAGACATCCGTCGGTATCTTGCTCTTGTCCAAGCGATACTTTTGAGTCTACAGTAGTTAGTAAGCTTGGTATGTTTCCCCAGGAAGGATGGCCCCATGACTAGAGCAAGCAGAACTCACCAGATTCATCTGCTTCTGGCTTAGGTGGAAAGGCTCCTCGAGTCCGCGAACCGTTCCCTTCACTTCCATGTGATACGTGATGGTTCGGCGAAACCAGGTCTCCTCGACGATGCCCACGTTATGAAGTAGCGGGAGCATGTATCCTCCTCCTTTGTCCGTGTACGTGAAATCAGCTGTGACCGACTCATCACCAAGGAAGTCCGAGTAACCACATCTCTTCCGAAGACGGCTTGTCCAATGCTTCTCGGGCTCCCAGTCGGGTATTTCCTTGGAAAAGTAGCAATTGACCTACCAAACTTGTTAGCGGAGTTTTCATCGTGCTATAGAGTCGTCGCATACAAAATCTTCTGCCGCAAATCCAACTTCCTCGAACCTGTAAGATTGGGGATCATAGTCTGAATCATCGTCCCCAAAACTTCTATCATAGGCCTGAGCGTAGGACATTGTGGGAGTTGACTGCCTGGCAACATCCCCCATCCCGACTGCACTAGTCAGCTCTCTGTAAGCGACGGTGGGATCTTCCGTCGAGTTGGTCATTGAGCTGTACACGCCGGTGGAGACGTCGAGGTCGTCGTCGAAGAGAACACGAATGTTGACTCCTTCCAACATGTCTCGCACGTCGGCAAAGCTGCCTTTGAGGATGTGTGAGATGAGAAGGCCGCGCTCGACGTCCTGGATTGCAAATAGCCGGCTAAACAAGTCAGCGAGCTCCATGTCGACCCGTCGATTGGTATCTTTGAAAGGGTTCCGCAAGACGACGACATGAATGACATCTTTCTCTTCCGTGATAGAAATGTGCCCTTTGCGAGACTCGCCCACTGTTTCGCCGATTGCTCTTTGCACTGAAATGCCCAAGGCTAGCGAAACCTTGAAGGTAGGAATCGTCGGCGTCGCTTTGGTTCCGAGGCTATACGAGGTCAGTGAGATGCAATGACGTTTAGGTGAACGTGACTTACAGCGCAATGTACTTTGCTTTCTTCTGTATGTTTTCAGACCAAAGTGGATGGGCTATCGGTGCGCTCACGTAAGTGATATGCTCTTCTACCGCATTGCTGAGGAGTCGAGGAGAGAGGTGACGCCATGCTACCAATGGCATGATCTTGTCAATATCTTTGACGTCGAAATCCAGGAGGGAAACTTTCCCCTCAAACGCGGTCCGTAATGCCGTGCGGTCGGCAATGAACCAGCTATCATTGAGAGACAAGAACGTTGCGCCGTCTGGACCTCCTGAGTTGTGCTTGGTAGGTAGCATGGGGAAAACCTTGAAATATGGGAGTGCTCTTGGTTCGAAGCACTGAGGCATTTTTGCAGGATCCTTCATACTTGAGAGATACTTGCACAAGAAGAGGAGCACTGTCTTTATCGACTGCGCCTTTGAAGTGTCCGCTGATAGGCCTCCCAAACGCCCCAACTCTCTGATAACGTCAGGAATACCGGCATCCGGGATTTGGAGTATCTCTTGAAAGAAAGTCCCACATTTAGGATAGAACTCAGCAAGGGGTCGGATGTTCTCAAGGCAGACAGGAGCCTTCCAAGTGCATTCGTTCGGGGTGAGCCAACCATGGACTGGATGATAGACCGTCTTGGCGTGCTCGAAGGCTTGACTGCTCGGGTTAGCTATCTCGCCCGGGATCAATTGAATAGAATCTTACCGCTGAGCATCCGAGATCTCTTTGCTGTTGTTGGCCAGATACAGATAAATGTGACTCGCAGCCTTCATAGTATCCGCATCAATGGCCAAACCTTTCATCGTCTCGAGTTCCATGACGTAGGCCTCTACACTGGGTTTAGTAGTGACTGAAAAGGCTCCAAATTTCTGCCATATCAAGTCCTCTGGGTCAGGAAAATCTGCAAATGCAAGATGTGGACAGTGGAGGAGCAGAGCTTTGGCTGGTACCGCTGTGTCCTGGAGTTTCCGTTGGACCCCGTCTCGACAAGGCACTGTCATGGCCTGGACATGTGGGTGCAGAATTGAGAGGCAGTCCCTGTATTCGAAGAACAGCCCGTTTCGAAGCCACTCGTCTCTTAAGAGTTGTATGAAGCCCATGGAGTCATTTTTGAGAAGCCATCGACTTTCGCGACTAAGGACGACTTCCGAAGAGGACTGATCACGGACAAGTAACTTGAACGATGTTGCGACTCCGTGTTTGTTCTTCAACCACTCAATGAAGGCGCCTTTTTGGGCAGCGCGTTCTTCACCTGCGATCTCACCTCGACTGAAGTAATCAGGATGCAGCACGTTCATGCAAGCCTTGGGTTCAGGAGAGTGCTTGCTAATGAGGTTATGTTGGATCTTTGGGTCGATGAGGTAGACGGTATCGGCGCGGCAAACCTCGTTTCCGTTGGAGGTAGCAACCCAGAGGTTCATCTTTGGAAGCCAATGCGGACGATGATTGTGGAATAAGTAGAACGCGTCTTCGATGAGACGCTCGGTTCCTCGGGGGTCCCAACCATGATTCCGTTTGTTATGGTCTTGGAGAATTCGATTGCAAATATCGTTCGATGTGATCTTTTTGATCCCTAACCATTCAAAGAGGGCGTCTCTCTTGGCATCGGATCGCGCATCGGGGAGCACGAAGAAGAGGCCAAGGCCTTGAGGAGCACCTTGGATGTCTGCCTTCGCCGCCAGGTATAGGTCTGCCGTGCGCGCAGGAAGCAGATCCCCGTCCAGTGTTGGCACAAGTGGCAAGCGTCGTAGTCTCTTTTTCCAAGACTCAGAGCGGACGAGAATAGCAGCCACTTTACTGTGCCATTTCTGTGACTTGGTGGTGAGGTCGGGTTTCTCTACTGAAACCCATTCACAGAAATGTGACACAAACACGTCAGCAACCATGGTACTTACCCCCAGACGCATGAAACCTTTGGGTAGATTTCCTTCTTGAGAGTATTCGGATGCTAGATGGCGGTGACGTTGTTTCGGTGAGTCGATCAAAGGCACTCCATCCAGACAGTATCCAGAAGAAACGAAGACGAGTTCCTGCGGCTTTCGCAGATCCTCAATCCCCGCGCGACTCTGAAGAACTGGGCGAGACTGAAGATGTCTGATCAGGGATTCTTCCAGACCGTCCCAAAAGTCATCGTGAGAGGGAGATCGCACCAAGTACCGTGGCCAAGAGTAACGCAGTTTACCTCCACCTTTGTTGAATCTCTCGACTGACTCCTCGAATGCAACTGGAATCGCTTCTCTGATCTTGTTGTTCCAAGCGTTTTCGGCGGGAACGCGCTCCCGATCCGCGAGTAGAATGAAGTCGCTCTGAATGAGAAACTGAGCGTCCGATTAGTGATGTTTTCTAGAAACCAGAGGGATTTTGGTCCTTACTTGGAAGCCATAGTGGCCAACTGGCAGGAATGCAAAGATTGGCTGCTCTTGAACCTTTGGGCTACCATCCTGCTCCAGCGGAAATGCAAGAGTAACCTCTGAGACGCCGATGTTTTTCCTTGTAGATTCTTCTGGCATGTCTTCCACTGCCTTTCGGATAATGACGTACTTAGTTTCCGTCGCTGGCTCCGAATTGTTTGTGTGCATGGTAATAGTCCGCGTTTCGCAGTGGAAGTCTGTGTCGTGATCTGTGTATGTAGCCAAGTAGTCAACCTGCTCATCCGGTGTCTGGACAACGATGCGTCTGAGTCGGCGAAGAAAGAGCAGTATTTCGGGTTTGATCTTGGTAAGCTCCACGGCAATCCTTTCCAACTCGCTATTGCCAAGTAGTTGAAGAGCCATGCTTGTATTTTCAGACTCGCGCTGAGGTTTGATGAATTCCGCGGGGAGGGGCAGGAGAACCCCCAGCATGTCCCTTGTATTGTCGAGTTTGAAGCTGTAGAGCCCACTCGAGACATAGACTACATTTGCGACATTGAAAACAGACTTGAAGCCTATGCCCTTCTCTCCAATATATCCCGAATGGACCTCTTTCGATAAGCTCTTTGTGCTCTCTCCGATCGCGCAGAGAGCGTCGATTTGCTCAAGAGAAAAGCCATTTTCGTTGCATCCCGTTTCCAAGTAGTGAACAATTTCGCCGCTGTTGTCAATACAGCTCTCGATGCTCAGCCTGAAACTTGGGCGTGAGTCTCGTTGAATCGCTTTGGAGTAATCGTTGTCGTCGGCATTTTGAAGAAGCTCCAAAATGAAATGGGTTGACGTGCAATACAGATTTTTCGCGAGAACCTGGAGGGCGTTTCGTAGTTGTTTCTCCGTGAATTTATTAGCTTGCCCATTTTCTATGCCTCGATCGTGTACGATGGTCTGTAGCTGAGCATCCGCCTCTTCTCGAGACTGTGGTGGTGATGGCGGTTCCATGCAGGGCGCGGAGCGATTTCTCGCTGCCCGGCGTTTGATGGAATTTGTCAGGAAGTCTTGAAGAGACCCAAGAGAGTTGTGTACGATGATTCGAAGAATTCGATTGAAAGGCAGAGATGTTGGGATCGGGGCGAGATCAAAACAGTGATGGGGTGAGGGTAGTGATGTGAGTCGAAGGTGTGAGAGTGAGAAGGTGAGAGTGAAAAGGTGAGAGTGAAAAGGTGAGAGTGAAAAGGTGAGAGTGAAAAGGTGAGAGTGAAAAGGTGAGAGTGAAAAGGTGAGAGTGAAAAGGTGAGAGTGAAAAGGTGAGAGTGAAAAGGTTAGTGAGGGAAGGCAAGTGTAAAGGTGAGGAAAGGTAAGAAAGGCTAGGAGATGCGCCCGAAGAGGGAGATCTGGTGGTCACGCACCGTGTATTTTTCATAAGATTTGAATTTGCGCGGCCTTCGAGACCTAGGCTGGAGGAAGGCACGAGGTCATGGTTTCCATTGCTATTGAGGAAGGAGCCACCCACACTCTTGCTGCCTGATGTACATACACTACCTCGTGGAGAGGATGGCCTCTGTTACGTTGAATACTACGAATAAGCTCCCATTTATCAGTGATAGATGAGCCACGCAGCCTCATATTACCTTGGATTTCAAAGATCTGATGTATGAAACTTGGTTATTGTTGACTTCGTCACTCTCGGGTAAGCTCGAAGCAGAGCCGCTACTATTTAGCATCTATTGCATGTAGTCGTACTGATCTGTCTCACGTTTTAAGCGGAGCCTGCGTTCACGTCACTTCACAAAAGACACAATAACTTGATGTAGTCTATATATTACAATAGACTACATAAATCTTGTCCGTCACCCCGATCCCTTAGCCCTTAAGGGCTACGTCGTCATCACATCTCACATCCCCGGCCGTTCATCCAACATCTCATCATAGATGTCATCCGCATCCCATCCATCCTTCACCTCCTCATTCCCACTTTCAACTTTACTCTTCGCAGCCGGTCGATCCTCATACACGCTGCCCCCAAGATCTTCCGAGGGTCCCTGGAAAGCGGAAGCCAGATCACTGGCCCCTCGGAGGACTCGCCTGTGTACTTCGACGAAGGGCCATGTCCCAGCAACACGACGGGCAGCACTGCTGGCAGCGGAAGCGAGAGCGGAGACGAGAGAACCGAGGCCCGCGCGATTCCGGCCGGTGTCCTCCCCCACCGGATCATATAGCGGCGGTTGGTGATGACCGGCTTTGAGGTGAGGTTGATGATGATGGCGTCCATGGGATATAGCAGCATCTTCTCGTGGAGCGATAACGTCCTCCCGCTCAAAAGGCCTACCAGTTCCCAGCCAATACTTGACCCACTCATGACCAGTCTCCTGGAATTGGCAGAAGACCGTGACGTTCCCATCGTCGTCGATGAAATATTCGCTCCAGAGGTAACTAGGGGTTAGAATCCGACCAAATGGGATGCCATTATAGATATCCCGCGGCACAGGATTCTCTTCCAGGTAATTGATGACCCATTGGCGGGGCTGCTGGTCGACATATCTGCCGTCGACGTCGAGATAGAAAGATGAGACGTAGTACATCAGACCATCGTAATGGATCGCCTCCACAAGCTCTTGGGCCTCGTCATCGTTGAGAATGCCGCGGACGCGATTGAGAACGGACATTTGGTCCCAGTTGATCCTGTTCAGCGTGTAGTCCAACCCCATCTGGAAGAAGTCGCGACAAGTGACCTGCTCGCCCCTTGTATGGCTATACGTCTGTAACAAGACTTCGTAAATGTCTCTGACACCCCATGACTCTCCAGGGGCGTCGTGTTCCAGGCTGTAGGTGGCGACCCTCGCAAAGAAGTCGTCGACGGGGGACGGAGGCTGAGGCTCATCTGCTACACCCATCGCTATCGTGGCGTTCCTAAGCCACACGTTGAATTGATCTCGCTCATGGTGGTAGTCCTCAAGAATCAACCATAGAGGCTGGCAGATGAACTGGCATTCACATTCTTGCTGGCGACTAGGTAGCCAATAGCTGCATTGCTCGCAGGCGTTGTGAGGAACACCTCCGTTCGGCAACCACTCTCGGGCCCAGGATCGACCTGAGAGATAAGTAGTGAGGAAGTTCTTTGTATCCGCTTCTCTCAGTCTCCAGAGGAAGCGGCGGTAGCCCATGAACCTGTGGATGTCCTCCTGGACTTCGAGAAAGTCCCGCCACACTGCGAGCTCTTCTTCGATGTCTGCATCGTACGGGGCCTGGCATGCAACAGCGCGACGCTGCAGTGCTAGGAGAGGTTCACGCAGTCTAGGAGACACGCTCTCAGGATCGGTGTCTCCAAGGAAGTCGAATATGTCCTCAAGCCGTTCACGGCGCTCCTCAAAAGTGGGAAGGTTATGGGCGTCCATTTTGATATAACTGAGTTGGCAAGACAGAATAGAAAATTGGAAATTTTGAAGAGAAGGGGACTATGGTCGATTTTTGAGATGTTGGCCCGAAAGAATGGACTCGTAATGGAGAGCCTAAGACCTTATATATATCTTTCTAAGTTCTCAAGGTCTCAACATGGTTATATGTGTCGGAGATAGATACATTTGGCTGGCACTATAGTTCTCAACCCGTTGCGAGGTAGAGTTGGACTGTTGCGAATCAAGCCGTGCGCCTCTACGGTCCTTATACGACATATACAAATCGCCCATAGAGCCTCATACATACATCACCATGTATTCCGCTAGGAATCTGATGGCTTCCATAGCATTTCTTTTTCTTGGTGGGAAGGCCACGGGTTTTCCAAATCTGCTCACATTGCGGCAAGGACTCAGTCAAGATATCAGCAGCGAGGTACCCGGTATCTCCGATGAGCAGGCTTGGGCCCCAAAGTAAAGGATAATAATCGGGTGTGTCCATGAGACTACTGTGGTTTCTTGGTACTCGCCAACGTTGTTGTTGCTGTCCATTATGATCTCAAACTCTAATGCATACGGAGCCTCCAAGCCTGACAACCATCCCTCAGTTTCGGAAAGCCTGCACGAGCTCATGCAGCTTGTCAATGACAACCGGAGCAATGGCTCCGAGAGTGTCTTCGATGATCCTCTCGAAGAACAGCATTGATTCCTCCTCTGTAAGTTCCAGGTGAAATCGTTCACGAACCTTCAGCACCGCCTTGTCAGGCTCAAGTCGAATGTCAGGAATGTTCGCGTCCACCATCAAGCTAAACAAGTTGAGAATAAGATTGGAGGATTTACGCAAAGCAGTGTATGCCAGGAAGCAGTACTGCTTGAACTGTTTGAAGTGCTCTGAGTTGACTCCGCCCATACAGTCGACCATTTCCTTTGAGAGCTTCATGACCGGTGCAAATGGCTTTGGATCTCGGCCAAGAATGAATCCAAAGTCGGCGTGGAAGAAATGGCCGTCCGGGGCGAGGAGAAGGTTATCCAGATGCCGATCGCCGACGCCTAGAATGTAGGTAATCACGCAGTATCCTGCGCAAGACTTGATATAGGTGTCCAGAGTTTCTTGACGTAGACCTAGGGGTTGCCGGTCGTCTGGGTTGTTGGATTTCAAGTAGGTCAGTGCTGGGTTGTTTCTGAATTTCGAAGCAATGCTTTGGAAGCTGACGGATGGAACAAATTGAGAAGCGCCTGCTGTTGTGCTGGTAGCCAGAATTTTGTAGGGAGACAGCTTCAAATCCAAATTTTCTTTCTGCAGTAGTTGGTCCATGAGAGTAATGATCTGAATGACCAACTGGTCCTGGCGCAGGTCGTCACCAGTCTTGAAGATGATGGGATACTTCTTGCCGGTGCTGGTTTTGAAGGTGACCTTGATTGGGCAAAGAGATGACTTAAAGACCGTCGTCTCGTCAGGTACCACCCCGACCACTAGCATAGTAGGGTCGAGCGGCAAAGGCAATGGCGGGTCAATTGTCAGAATTTCATTCTTTGGATCTGCCAAGAAGTGTTTGACGCGGTCAGTCTTTTTGGCGATGGATTCGTGTGACGTTTTGACTTCCCCAGAAATCTTGGACAAGATGGCAATCAACTCAGCCTGTCTCAGGAGTGTTTTTCTCGATTCGACTCCATCCGGTTGCTTCACTAGTTCAGTCATGAAGTCGTAGGCCACCTTTCGGTAGATGTTGCGGTTATCCAATCCCTGCTCTGGGCTGTGATCGTCGCATTCGACCATCAGGTACCAATGGAAGTAGTTGCCAAGAAGGAAGTTACCGGCTGCTCGGGATATCAAGAATTGAGCCAGAGACGAATCATGAATGGCCTCCTGGGAAGAGTCGGCCTGGATATGCTCGTATTTCAAGGCTTGCACCAATTGCAGCAGATAAAGGAGCAGCTCATGATCATCCGCCTTACGTAGTCTTTCCACAGCATACGCTCGAACAGCTTGGTTGTCGAAGGTGGGGCCAAGCAACTCTAAAGCATCGTCGACGTCGATTTCGGTCCAGCGTCCCAAGACTTGCACTGCCTGCTTGGCTTCGCTTTGATCCTGCCAGTTGACTGATTTCACAAACTTGGTAACAGCCCGTTTGTCTCGAGTGAGATGATAGCGGAATTTCCAGATTAAATCCTTCTCCTCCGGGGTTAACGTGTGCGTTGGCGAATACGACATGATGAGATTCAGCTCATCTCGGACCTTGGCATTTGGTTTGAGATCCTTGTCGAGAACCCCGTGGCGATGCTGACTTCTGACAAGCCTTCTGTGCTTGCTTTCGGCTGGATTGTCGCGAGCACCAACCTCAGGGTCATAAACCTTCATCAATCGACTCCCAGCTGAATCGTCAAGCGCGTCGATACCAGGACCAAACTGCACTTCGGGCGGCGGCTTCAACATTACGTTAGACTGAGAAGCAGACACATGCTGAAGCGCCGAAATCGGCGGAGGATCATATTCTAGGTCCGCAAATACAACTGGGAAGTCGAATCGCGGCAACTCCACGTTGAGCTGGAACTTGGAAAACCCAGGATGGGATTCGGTGTTCACAATACCCTTGTCGTCTGAGGTTCCCTCCTTTTCGGTCGATGCATCTCCATTTGTCGTCCTCTGGCGTTGCATAGTCTTGAGTGATGCTTTTGCCGATTGTAGTCCGCGCTTTTCAAAGCCACGGAAGACAAGCTGATCAAGCCAGTCGACTCTAGGTATCTCGCCCATTTCGTGTTTCTTGAAAAGCTTCTCCATGCGCTCCAGCTCTTCAGCATCCTTATCTACCGTTGGAGTGGCTCCTTTCCTCGAGCCGTCCCGTTTCTTCCGCGGAACCGCAGGCGTAGTGGTATTGTCATTCCCATCGGCGTTCTTGTGTCGGTGGACCATGCATTTCTGCCGGCCCTTCTGCACCTGATTGTCTCGGTCGAACAGTGGGAGCGTTGTGCCGCCGAAGGGGATCGCATGGCCTCTCGCTTGTTTTCCACCAGCTGGTGATGAGTCCCATAATGTGATGGCTAAGCAAGAGTTTAGAGGGAGGGTTTTGTAGTTGATCGGCAGAGTGAGCCACTCGTTCCATCTACGCGCGCTCCGCGTCAGAGGTCTTTTCCCAGGATCATCCACCAGACGTAAGGGACGCGACTTACCTCCTCTCATTGCGAAACGATTTGTATGCCGTCTGGATAGGTACTGTCAACGGCTTCGAGCCGGCCCATACTTGCACGGTGACGTAGAGGTCGGAGTGCGAGCTAGCAAGTTAGCGAAGGCGACCAGCAGCCGTACGAAAGGTGTTACCTTGTGTTAGAGCCGATATGTCTCAGCTCGGCCTTTTCCAATAAAGTGGAATGCAGAAATGGTGTTTCGTCGCCCTCTAGATTAATACTATCACGGTAGCGTCAGTCACGCGCATTATCCGGGTTGGGAACGACGCAGGAGCTGGGCGCATACATGCGGATGCTGACTGGATAGTCTAGAGACTCGGAGCTGGCAAATGAAAATGGCTCCATTGTGAGGATAGGAGCTCGTACGAAGAGATTATGATTCCATCATGCAATGAAGTAGGCAAGTTGCAGAATGTCGTTCGGCGAATGCGACAGACAGCAGTTGCATGTGTTTGTGGGTAGGTAGCGCAGGTTGAGGTCACTGACTGCACCAGACTGGATAAGCACTGGTAGGCGGCAGCTGACTGTGGGAAGCTCCAGTGGAGTGCATTAGGCAGTACATCCCAGCATGGGCTAGCAAGCTGTGGATTTCTGTCGTCTGCGACCCCCGCCTCAGCCACATGTCTCCAGACCTACCTATATCTTATCGATAAGCCTGTCATCCTCAGCCACATTCACCCCACGCACGTATGGGTGCGATAACGATTGTTGGAGCGCGTTGAGTGGAAGGGTCGCCTGGGAAGTGCCTGTCGCGTCTTCCATGCCCAGTCGCAAATTCACGCGTGAGATCCTGCACAACCACCCGAACTCGTCATCGAACATCGTGCAGAAGGCGCACTCTTTGGTTCTACGCCAGGCCCTGCCTCATATCAAGCCAACATCCTCGACCACCATAACACCGAACACACAGCAACTCCTCAACAAGCAAACCGGTTAACATCGAGAATGCCGGCGAGAGTTGGAGGCTCGTCCTCCCCCGAGTCGAGCGAAGATGATGCGCCCCGTCCTGCGCGCGGTCATCTCGCCGCGAGAGACAAAGGCAAAGGCCGCGATGTCTCCATTGGCAAGCGGAAACGTACAGACACGGAAAATGGGGGTCATGCCGCACGTCGCCGAGCTACGCGCTCCGTTGAGAGAGAAGAAGAAGAAGAAGAAGAAGAATACGACTCGGACATCTATGACCCAGACCAACCAATGGAAGAACGTCGAGAAATCCAACGAAAGCTCCGAGACCTTCATAAGGGCATCAACGAAAACATGGAAGAGTACATGCTGCCAGGCTCAACGGGTCTGAAGGATACCTTGATGATGGCTCAGCGCGTTGCTAGGGGTGTGAAGCAAACTACGGAGGCGACAATAGACTCTCGCCTGCTTGTCAGCGCCGTCGATATGTCGTACCGCAAAACCGTGAGGTTGATGCAGGGAAGCTCCACCGAGGGTGTCGATGTGGATGAGTTCGTCTCCAAGTGCTGCACCTACATGCGGCAAGCCGGTGGAATCGCAGACGACGAGGCGCCAGAGCTATCCGGTACACAAAGACGGAGACGCCGCACCAATAACAATACACGCGATGATGAGGATGAAGGGAACGACGAGGCCTTCAACTGGAGCCATCTCGGACGCTTCGCTTCCTTACCAAATGTTCGTCGGCCAGCCTTGCCCGGCTTTCTCCTTGGTCCCTTGTCCGTTGAGAAGAAAGTACGCAAGATCTCGAAGCGCACCGCCCCCTTCAGACCCAATAACCTGGAAGAGACAAGACCCGAGGTGTTGAATGTCGAGGACCTTGCCAAGAAGGAGAATGATTTGACCGCTATCTGCGGTAAGATTCTGAAGCAGCTGGACAAGGTGCAAAGCAGCATTCAAACGGAGCTCTCTGAAATATTCGAAAACACCGAAATGGACGACGCCGAGCAGATTCAACTCATGCAGAAGTACGGTCTACGGGATACAGGCGGTGTTGACCTACTTCGTTTCGTTGTCAACCCCAAGTCCTTTGGCCAAACGGTGGAAAATATGTTCTACGTCAGTTTCCTCATTCGTGATGGAAAGGTTGGCATCGAGTTTGACAGCGACGAGTATCCCTCTCTCAGTAAGCCGGTCATCATCTGAACATGTGACATTGATTGTACTGACTGGACTTCAGATCCCATCAGCAATGGAGACGCAAACGAGGACGGCACAGTCAAGCGTGAGACAGCGAAGCAGCAAGCAATCTTTTCCATGGACATGCAAACATGGCAAGATATCATTGACACATTTGAGATTAAGGAGCCGATGATCACCCATCGGAAAGAAGCAACAGCGCAAGGTCCCGGTGCCAGGGGATGGTACAGTTAGAGGAAGACAAAACGGCGTATTTGGCGTTTCGGCATAGCATCTTAGTTCCGTCGTTCACTGGTGCAGGACGATATAGAATACCAGGTCAAAATGTTGCAATGGAGTTTTGTGGGAGGTTTTACAGAACGGAGGATTGGAGGAATATTCTCAAGGACGCCAGTATGGGGGAGTTGTTTGACCTACCTAGCAATGAATTAATGGGGCAGCTGACGCCCTCCGCAGCATCACGCTCTGGGCCGTCCCCGACTTGCCGAAACTTCAGAACGGGCTTGCTAACCTTGTGTTATGTCATAAGGTAAGGTACCAAGAGGTCATTGAGGCGAAGACGAGGTAGGGGAACCGGCCACAAAGACAGTCTAAGATTCCAAGGGATGTGCACGTCCGCAAGTCTTTGACCAACTCCAGAGTACTCATTGTTGGTCCACGCTCCCTTATTCAACATTGAGCCTTTGGCTTGTTATTTCCAGATTCCGGTTTGTAAGCTTTGTTGAGAGTTGAATGGGAGTTGCACTGACCAGGGCAGTCTGATCCGCAAACGGACGCATTATCATCTCCCTCGATTTGGGAGAATCTGCTCCTCCCTAGAAGTCGAATGCTTGTATCATGTCGATGGAATGACTCCGAGTATGCTTCCTACTTCGGGACTCCTCAAGGCCAACTCAATGTTCGCCATCCCAAAGACAACCTATGGCATAAGTACGGCGTGTCCGCATAGATCAAAGACCTTTGGGCAGCTTTTGTTGTTTTCATTCCTCTTCTTATCTTTCTCTATCTTGTTTTCCTTGCTGTTTTACATCATAGATCATATGAGAGAATTTGTAAGTACACCTTGCTTGAAAACTGACATACTTGGCACCGAGAGAGATGGCTGGGGAGATGGGCGATGAGGTTCCCGAGAGTGAGGTGACCCGAGGTCGAACGATTTCTCGGGAGGAACCTCCAACTACAGCAACATCTGCGAAAGATGAGCTAGATGTGCGGGCTTCATCGGACCAGGGCTCCGGACAACCTCCAGCAAATGGAGAGCAACAGCGAAGTGGAAGCAGGGCGTCCACATCATCAGCGCCTCGCGGTGACTCGTCAAACACAGCAAATCCTTCCAGAGTCTCCTGGGCCGCTTTGGCTGGGAAGGGTGCCACTGGAGCGAAGTTGGATATGCGGAGCGTGGCAAGCCCTTCGCGGGATGATCTCCCAACACCAGCTACGCCTGTATCAGCCATACAGGATGTGTCTTCTGGTCGTCCTGCAGGCGAAGCAGGGCTTCCAGTAAGTCGAGGTCTAGACGAAGGAGTGCTGTCAGATTCAGCCTCCGGAAGCTCAAGCGTCTCCCGGCGCGATGGTTCAGTATCCAGGGGCAGGCGTCGCAACCCCGGCGTTTCCAGGGGCACTATTCCCGTTCAGCAAGCAAGGCAGACAAGCCGCCCGAAGAGTCCGGCTCCAACCACCTCCGAGTCGACTCCGCTGGCCAAACAAGAAGGCGAGGAAACTCAATCGAGCAATCCAGCACCAACTGCGGAGCTAATTGAGTCGACTGAGTCGAAAGGGCTCGAGGATGTGAGAAACTATCTAAGAGGCCTCGCGGAATCACACGGCATTCTTCATCTAGTCAACAAGGAGCCGGTGCCCATAACATGCGAGCAACTCTTGAAGAATTTTGCCTCAAAGGTCTCCGAAGAATGCAGTACGTGGCAAGAGAAGCTTCAGATCGAGAGTTCAAAACTTGAGGCCTCGACGCAAGCACACGCGCAGCTTGAGGGGGAAAAGACCGCATTGCAACAGATCGTGGCAACGCAAACTGACAAACTTGGCGAACTTGGCCCACTTGAGCAAAAGGCACGAGACCTCGAGGTGCAGTTCACGAAGTGTATTAACGAGCGAGACAAACTCAAGTCGAGCCTGGAAGCAAAGCAAAACCAGCTCAAGACAGCTCAGAATGAGTGCAACGAGAAGGAGATTGCACTCCAGCACCGCACAGCAGAGCTCAATGAAGTTCAATTGCGCATCCAACAAATGGCTCCTCCAGTGAACGAGGAAGAGCTTAAGAGTACCATCTCTAAGCTGCGTGATCAGCTCAATGCCGAAAGGTCAGCCAGGGCGACAGCGGAGCGCAAACTTGAAGAAGAGAAGGGCGTGTGGCAGGCGAAGGAGAAGCGGCACGAAGAGGACGTTTCTTATATGGAAAAGCAGTTGGTTGACCACCAAAAGCAAGTCAAGGAAGCGCTAGCCACGGTAGAGAGCCTTCGGAAACAATTGACGGACCAGACCAGGAAAGTCTCCCAAGCCCAAATCGAGGTGGAAAACATGACTTTCACCGTCGACCACGAGAATGTTCCCCTTGCCGAATATCGCAAGCTCGTCGACAATGCGAGGGGCGAGGTCTCAGACTTGGAGATGCGACTAGCCCAGGCAGAGACGGAACGCGACGAGGCACTGAAGCAAGACGTTCCCATGGACGATATGCGGGACATCATCGGAGAGGTTGTCGGTTTCTACGGCCTCGCCATGGACGATGCCGCCAGCAACCTGTACAGCAACTGGCGGGAAGAGGAAGCTAGGCTAGCGGACTTGGTGTGCGACGGCAACGACGGCTTCCGTAGATACCCTCATGCCGTCGTGCTTTCCGATGAAAAGCCTTCGCAGTCATTTTCTGATGATTTGTTCTCGCCTCCCAAGCGGACTTCAGGGGCGGTGGCTTCGAAATGTGAAGAATCGCAGACCGAGAGCGAGCCTGAAGAGAGGCTTAATCTCGCGAAGGAGCTTGGAGAATTCAACAGCCAGTCCTCCGCGGTAAGCTGAATCGAACCTCGCAAGATTGGATGGAATTACTAATTGGATTCATAGGAATCGGAAGAGAACCAGGGTAGCCCCGATCGCACACTACAGACAATCGAGGATGAACTCAGCAGACTCGATAGAATTTCTTCGGCAGTGAGTTCAAGCAGCTCCATTCTTGAGGCGATACTGACCAGTACTCAGGGGTCCCAGGGAAGCAAGGTTGGCCAAGGGGACGTGTCCCTTGAGCTACGCAATACCAAAGTCGCATTGGATGAGTGCCAGCATCCTCGTAAGGAAGCCGACAAGGAGATAAAAGACCTCAAAGATGAGGCCAAGAAGCTTGTTGATGAGATTGCGGAGCTCAAAGCAAGCGCTCGGGTGTTGGAGCAGACCATCGAGGAGCACGAATCTAATGCTGAACGAACGAAGGGAGAAGCAAACAGACCATCTGCTATCCAAGCGCGCGACGAACAAGACTTCGAGACCAATCGTAAGGAAGCCGACGAGAAGATCAAGAACCTGGAAGTTTTGCTCCAGCAACGAACAAAGGAGCTCAAGAGGTCCCAGAGGAGGGAAGAGTTCATGTCGCAGGTCTCTGAGCAGCTCAAGGGGCAATTAAGCGCTGTCCACGACAGACTGGGAAAAGCTGAGGCCAAGGCTATGTACGCCTGCGCGCGAGAAAAGTTGGCGCAAGAAAAGATGGCACAAGAGGCTGCCACAGCGGACGGATCGAGCACAGGTGCGAGCTCGCTGGACGACTCGGGAGAACACCTCCAGCTGGTGGCCGACCTGATAGACCGCGTGGACAAAGCGGAAAGCGAGCAGGCAGCGAGCCGCAGAGATCTGCAAGAGATCCAACAGATGGTGGCAAGCCTCGATGAGGATGCCAAGAATCTTCGGGAGGAAAGAAACAGCCTGGCTCTTGAGAGGGATCAGCTCCAGGAAGAAAAGGTGGAATTATCCCAACAGAGAGACGCATTGAAGGAGGATCTCAAGACGTACATGGATTCTGCGGACGAAATTGCAGAACAAAACGTCAGGCTCCTGGAACAACTACGAGAAATCGAGCAGGAGATGAGGAAGAAGATTGAGGAGATCAAACGCAAGGACGAAGAAATTCGACACAAGGATGGGAAAATACGAGAAAATGATCTTTTGCTCGGGGAAAAGATGGAGGAGTTGAAGGCGAAGCAGAAGGCTCTCGACGAATGCCACGAACACGGCGAGCGCCTCAATGCGGAAGTACGCACAGTTGAAGAGAAGGTGGTCGAATTCCGGAATAAATGGAGCTTTGCAAATCAAAGATACGACAGTGAGCTGAAGAGGCGTCTCATAGTGGAGCAAGAGGGTGTCGACCACCTCGAAAACATGATCAAAGGCAAGCTAGTTGAGAAAGACAAGGAATTGCGAGAAGAGTGGATGGCGGAGCACAAGAAAACCGTCGAGAGGTTGGAGAACGAGATTCGACCCTTGAAGAGGAGAGCCGAGGTGGGCGAGACTGAGCTGGAGAGGACCAAAGCTACGCACCAGGAAGTGGTGGATGGCCTCGAGTCCAAGATCCGCGACCTGGAGAGCCGCAATTCAGCTGCTGGCGAGGGTGCTGATCCGACAGAAATCGAAGCTCAACAGAAAACAATAGAGGAGCTCAAGCTCAGAGTTCAACAACTAGAGAGTCGGAACCAAGCGCCTGACGAGAATGCTGATCTAGCTAAGATCAAAGATGAACATCAGAAGACGGTGGATGCCCTCGAACTCAAGATCCAGAATCTGGAAGAGGACCACCGGAGGGAGTCGGCTGGACTCGAAAGACAAGTCCTCGCTCTGACGAGCGAGAACGAAGGCTTGACACGGGTCTTGTCGGGCACGGCCGTGCCGAGCGGGATCATGATCTCTCACCAGGGCACGCAGACTCACTACGCGCCGCCGGTCGAGAGCTCGACGCGGAACCCCGATCATCAACCGCCCATCGAGGGGACTTTGGGGACGACATCAGGCACCCAAAGCCCCCCTCCTGAATTTAGAGCCATGCACCAGCAGTTCCAAGATGCATTCAAGAGCCTGATACGAAAGCAGTCGGCCACCGCTGACAAACTTGATTCCTTCTTCAAGAGGCTGTGCGACACACTTGGGAAAATGGAGCTACCAGAAAATCCTGACGAGTACGAGGTTGACCGCCTAGTAGAGCTTCGTGACGCCTTCAACGAAGCTCGTACTAAGATGTACGAACTAGGCTTGCAGAAAAGACACTTTTTTGAGACCAACATTGAGAACTACCCGGACGAGCTGTACGAATTCGCGCAAAAGATTCACATGTACAAAGAGAGGCTCGAGCGGATCGAGGTCAGGGCGGCCACCACGGCGGCCAACACGATAGCCAACGCGACAGCCAACGAGAATAGCGGCGGAAACAACGCCGGCGGGAGTGATGGTGACAGCCAACCTCATCAGTCCGAGGCTGGCGACTGGGTGACTGCCAGCAGTAGCGAAACTCCTTCTGGCGGCGACGATGATGATTTTGATATAGACGGACCGGACCCCGGTGACGATCCAAAGAAACTCCGCAAAGCCATTGTCGCATTGGAGAGGATGAGGGATGAGGCCGGTGCAACCCTAGCGCAAGAGGGGAGGATATTGCGCAGGAACATCGCTCATTACGGAGGGATTTTCAACCGGCTATACCAAGATCTCGGCAACCCGCGCGAGCCAGCCCGGCAGCTCCAACGAGAACGGAGGGCCGTGGGACAAGCCGTCAGAGACCTGGCTGGCTCGGAGGCCACCGTCGCCGGGCCAAGCTCAGCCGCCGGCACCCAGCCGAACGTCGCCGAACCTCCACTGCCCCCGGACCTTTCATTGAATCGTTCATCAGAGGACCTGGACAAGTGGAGCGGGAAGAAGAAGGCTTACAGATTCCCGGACGACGGCGATCCAGGAAGTTCGGGCGACAGCACCGTCGATGGAGACATCGATCAGTATGGGTCACCCAAGCGGACTCCTTGGGAGGCACGCGTATATGCCATCCGAGAAATATTGACACAAACATATCGGGAGCAACGTGCTTGCATGTACGCTCGAAATGCCATCATGGAGGCCACGCTGAATCTGCAAGTCGCCGATGATCCCGTCCGTAACCAGCCAGGACCGACGCCTTCCGGCGTTTCTGCACATCCGCTCCCCAGCGCACCCGCGGATCAAGGAGGCCCAGGATCTTCTCAGGCGGGACCATCGTCTACTGCCGCGCAGCCAGCCAGCCCGGACAGCCAAAACGACGAGTCTCGGCGGGCATTCCAGAGTCACAACGCCTTTGACGACCTCGTAACCGAAATTTCCTCGCAGGCATCAAGTGATTTCTTCAATTTTCCCACAACGGATCGAATCCTACCCTCCTACCTCCCGAGAAGCATCTGGGACCCCCTGAATGATTGGTCCATGAGTTGTGAGAATGTCCAAAGCAATCTTGAGCGTCTCAACTATGCCATCGAGGGCCTCATCCACGACGGCATCAACTCTCAAAACTACGAGTTCCTGCGCAGCAGAGCCCGACAGCTCAAGATCATGCTCGAAAAGGCCAACGCGACAATTACCGCCCTCAAGGCGAGGGAGGTCAACGAGTTCGTAGGCCGGTCTGACAATGAGCTCGCAGAAGAGGCGCAGCGACTCAAGAAAGAGAACAAAAGCTTGGAAGAGAAGCTCGAAGATTTTAAACAGATAGCCGCGAAGCGACAAAACGACGAGAGGCTCAAGCAATTTGCTGCAGATGCCCGCGCATCGACTTTGGAGAATATGAACGAAAAGCTGAAAGAGACTATTAGCAAGCTAGAAAAAGACAAGAAACAGGCCATTGATGACGGCGTGGACAAGGAGATCCGTGAGACGGTGTACTACTACGAAGAGCAAAAGAAGGAAACTGAAAAGTTGAAACGCGAGATCGCGAAGCTGGAGAAGAAGCTTGCCGAGGAGCAGTCGACGAAGAGCGCCGTATTCGATGGTACCGTCGAAACCATTAAGGACCTGCAAGAAGAAATCCGCCAGCTGCGGAGGGCCAACGAAAAGTTGGTAGACAGAGGCAGGACGTTGGCGACCGACATGGAACGGGCTCTGGACGTCACGGCGGGTACATCGGGAACCGACGCACAGAAGTTGGCCCGGATGCGACAGCGCATCACCAACGCTCTACATCTGGACGTCCCCGACTACCAAGAAATCGAAGACTTCCCACTTGAGGCGGAGTCGGAGCGAGAGCAGGAGTTCGTTGACGCAATGAAGGAGTACGAGAGGCAGTCGAAGAACCTGCGAGATCTCAACGACCGACAAGTCCGCCAGCAAAAGCGAGATTTTGACGACCGGCTGGCTAAACGAGACGCTTCTATGAAGCTTCAGCAGTCCAAGTTGAGAGAGATCTTGGCTTCTCAGAGGCAGCGACTCAGGTTGTGCGAGACGGAGTTGGAGGCCGAGAGAATGCAGCTCCAACATGCCAAGAAGAGGATGGCACTGATGGAGAAGCAGCTGCAGGAGCAAGCTCGTGTCAACGTGGATTTGATGATTGACCAAGATGAGGATAACTTGAAGGCTACTGAAGAGGGGACATCTGGAGAAGAGCCTAAGGAAGATAAGAAGGATAAGGGGAAACAGCGCGCAGGCGCACCCGGTGGTCCTGATGGTGATCCCGACGACGGCGACGATGATGATGACAACCACGGTGAAGGTTCCAGCAGCGGTCCTCGAGAAGCCGGCAAGAAGCAGACAGGAAGCGGCAGGATGTGTGGCTGTCCCTGCCTTGGTGCCTGCGATACAGCAGGCAGGCCGATAGCTGCTAGACAAGAAGTCATCCACGACCTCGTCACGTTTTACGCCAAATACAGACGCTGCTGTGGTCGTAAAGCCAACATGATGAGCGCCGCAAGCCAAACGACCGCCGAATCCGCCTCCGGAACAGAGACGGCGGAGGTCCCCGAAGACGACGGCCTTCTCCTGGTGCGACTGGCCGGCCTCCTGCACATGGACAGCGACACGAGAAATCGAATCGAGAACCCGCGCCTGAGCTACCTCGCGCGCCTCCTCCTCGCCTTCTGGAGCTGCATACGCATTCACGGGGTCGCGTGGAAGCAGACGCTTTACTGGCTGGTCGCCGGGAGCCTTTACTCGGCCGTCTACTACCTACCCGGCAGGCGCTGGAGGCCGGGTCCGCCAACGACTCCGTCGCCCAAGCTCGTGGCGCTGGCGATCAAGGACGCGATCATCTTATACTGGTTCTACTACTTGTACCAGGCGCTCATGGCGACGTGGGCCGTGCAGAAGGTCTACGATATGGCCAACGGGTACACGAGGGCGTACTATGTCGAGAGGGCTCTGCATCCGGAACGGTCCAGGTGGTGGGGTCTCGACGGGATCGACATGCGGCTTTCTGGGTTCTCTACGACAGAGCCTCTTGCGCCTGTTACTACTGACGATGGGGCGGCGGGCATCAGGAGGGGACTTTGAGGTTTGGAGGAGAAAAGAAATGCGTGAAAGTTTGTGCCCGTGGAAGGCGCGGGAGGCGGAGGACGGCAGATGAGAGGGTATCCCTCGGAAGCGTCTTGGCGGGGTATCTGTCAGTAGACGGAGATTTTTGGCAGTGAGCAAAGTTGCGTGTGGTAGAAGCTTTTCGTCTGATGATGGGCAAACGATAAACGGTGTTGCGTGTGCATGTCCGGGAAGTCTGCATGGAGCAATTGTTCGGATCGTCGGTTTAGGGTTCCACGGAGTTCAACGGTGTCGGGAACTTTCTGTGACTTGTTGTATTTGCTTACCTCATGATTGAGTCGAGAGCATTGGTTCACTGGTTGTACGGATGAATACTGTTTTGGGAAATAGCAAAGGCAAAGAGATTTTGAGAACCATGGCATCATTTACCAGTTGACGATCCGTGTGCCCGCTCTTGACAAGGTCTTGACAGAAAACGAGAACGAAAGGGCTTTGCGTGACTGGCTGAACCGACCAGCGAGTGACCATTGAACAAACTGACGATGACCTCCGCTCAGCTCTGCGACGCATGATTTGGAATTCGGGGAACCAGGCCCATGTCGTGTCATTCACGTCCAATTTCCAGTTCCGTCCCGGGACCCTGGGCCACCATGTTATCTGCAAAAGAGAGAAGAAAAGATGGAAAGAAGCCGCACTTTACGGGGCGGAAAAGGGCCTAGCGCCCCGGGCGCCCCGCTCTCCAGAAGATTCCCACTTTCGGTCTAGTCCGGCGTCTGTGCCTCGGCCCCGTACCTGTTCTGTTTTGCACCTCTTGCTCTGCAACGGAACGACTCGTCTCCCCGGTTCCCATAAAAAAGGAAAGGAATCGGAGGAAATGTTTCGCGGAACCACAAGCGCGCCTGCATGCTGGCAGCTGGAGAACGTTTTGGATTACCAAGACAGGCAAGTTAAGTGAAGGAACTAGGAAGGAGGATCCCGTCACCCGGCCCGGCACTTGCTGCATCAGCGGACCAGCACATCGAACTCCATTCGTTCGGGGCCTTGAACGGCGTCTACGATCCGCCGTCCCCGATTCTACCTCGGCCGCGAGATACCAAGCAGAGTAATATCGAGCTCTTATCTGGAATTGGAGCTTGGGCTTAGCAAAAGACACTATTATGCTATTACAGATGGCTGCTGGCGCCTGGCTTACTAACAGCGCGGCAGTGTCAGTTAGTGTAGGGCGCAATGGAAGATGTCACTCTGATGCGGTTCCACCTCACACCACCCAGCCAGTGATGTCATGACTTGGGGGGGGCACGCCCAGCGCCTGTCAGTGGGCTGTGGTGGGAAACAACGTTCTGACTGACAGCAACCTGCAGAAGCACCCGCCGCGGCTGGTCCGGAGACCCAACTGACCACCCATCGAACACCAATTTGATATATTCGCATTCGCATGTCAATTCAAATTGTTTGTACAGAGACTTTTCGCTACAGCCAGAGGCTGATCGTCAGTCGACATCAATTACACATTGAGATTGAGGGTCTACGGATACAGCAAGACACAACCAGAAAGCGGAACAAAGATTGGCAGACAAAGGGCAAAGCTTGCCGAAACAAGAATAGAAGAAGAGTTCTGGTTTGGTCTGGTCCTAAGAAGTTCATAGGACAGCTGAAAAGAAAAAGCTCGGCCGACCCGAACAAGGCATTCGAACCTCATTTCCCATGCGCCGGCCACCCCATCGGATTCCATGAAACGTCTTCTCCCCCGACTCAGCACCATTTCCCGACCACACCCGGACGATCTCTCTCCTGCGCGGAACCCATCCCAATCACCTATCAAACCGTTCCCAGGTCACCTCTTGAAAAAACTGGCGAGCCCAATTTGCTGACGGCATCCCCCACTCCCGCGCCCTCCCACCTCCCCAATTCTAGAACGTCGTCTCCCTCGGACTTGGACCCTTACCGTAAGGTACATACATCGAATTTGAAATGGTATGTGCTTTTTTAGCTTGTGAACTTGCCTCATCCCAGCAGCCCGCCGCCCGCCATTACCTCATATATAGGTAGTCGATCACCCTCCTCACTGAGCACACAACTCATAAAGAGCTTCAAGATTTGCTACTTCACACCTCGTCACGCACGTTCGCATTTCTAATCACGTTCCTCATATAGAGACTATCAAGATACCCGGCTATAACAGCCCACGCCCGCACCCTCAACCCCTCACGCATCCATCGCAGAGCATTCACAGCAACTCATAACGCACAAGCTCGTTCCCAAGCGCAAGAATCAGCAGGAGGGACCTCATCTCATACCAACAACACAAACACCAATTCGCAGTCACCAACCCAGGGCCAACACACCCTCGACTCGCCAGAGCAGCAACTCAAAGATAACCACACCAACCCCCTCAAATCCGCCAAAGACAAAGTTCACAACCTCACAATGTCTTCAAAACTCATCCCCCAAAACCCGGCAGACGTCATGGTCATCCGCGACCTGACCCCAAACATCACAACCTTCTCCGTCCCCTTCTCCCGCTTCGGCACCCTCAAAATCGGCGGCCGCGCAACCCTGGTCCGCCTCACCTCGGGCTCCCTCGCCGTCTTCAGCCCCGTCGCCCTCACCGACGCCGTAAAAGCCAAAATCGCCGAAAAGGGCGGCAACCTCGCCTACATCATCGCCCCCGACATGGAGCACCACATCTTCATCTCCGAGTACAAGGCCGCCTACCCGCAGGCCAAGATCATCGGCCCTGACGGCCTGCCGCAGAAGCGCGCCAAGCAGACGGGCGACCCCAAGATCAACACGTCGGACGAGTTCTTCGTCGTCTTCAAGGACGGTGCCGAGAAGCGCAGCACCACCATCACCCCCGAGTTTGACGCCGACTTCGAGTACGAGTACGTCGACGCCCACGCCAACAAGGAGCTCGTCTTCTACTTCAAGCCCGAGCGCGTCCTCATCCAGGCGGATCTGCTCTTCAACTTGCCCCCGCGGGAGCAGTACTCCAAGGCGCCCGAAGGCGAGCGCGACACTTCCTCCGGCTTCGGGAACAAGCTGTTTGGCGGCCTGCAGACTACCGAGGGCGACGTCAAGTGGGTGAAGCGCTTCCAGTGGTACGTGATGAGCAGCAAGAACAGGCCGAGCTTCAACGAGAGCATCCAGAGGATCGATGCGTGGGACTTTGATACGCTCATCCCTTGCCATGGAGATACGATCCAAGGCGATGGAAAGGAGAGATTCAGAAAGGTGTTTGAGTGGCACCTGGCTGGTACCAAGAAATAAAGTAGGAATCAGTGTCTTTTCTTTTGATACTGGGGACAGGGGATGATGATTTCATGGTTTGCATGACGGCGCTTGTGTTCACTTTGGCTCGATACCACGTTAGAATCTAATAACTCACATGACAAGTATAATTTCGCGACTTAGTGTTCAAATGTCATGTTATTCATGGACAGCATGGTAAAAAACACGAGTCACTCTGGTCGGTGAAACTGTATGAAGCTGTTCTCTTATTGATTGCTCGCATCGTTGTCCTGCCTCTATCACTGAGACTTGTTGAACTGATGGCAAATTGCGACTACGAAGAATGAAGGTAAAATGTATGCCTCGCTAGAGATAATGGGCGTCTCACATTCTTCGTCTTGCCTCGTCTCCTTGCCCCAAAACTCCCCCAGTGAATGACCAAAACCCTCCTTCCGAGCATATCATAGCGCATCTTGTGCTTGGCAAGAGCCAGTGAGCAACAGAGCAGCTCTGTGATGATTCACCTCAGGGTTTGTTGCTTCACTAAGTCAGTAAATATATCAGAAGAGAAGAAAGTGAGAAACAGATACCTAACCGTGAGATGGAGTTTCTTCATGATCGGGCATCTCAAGTCCTCGACGTTGGTGTGAGTTTCCCGGTGAGAATGGCTTCTCTTACTTGGCCAGTAGAGGCCACCTGGACTATGCCACGGTTCTGAGTGAAGCTGGTGTATTGAGAAGACCACCAGAGCATCATGTTCGCCAGCCTTTTGTATTTGCTTGACGCCAAGCTCACGTAGTTTGCTGCTTCAGGACGCTCCTTATCAAGGAATAGAGCCCAGGCAGCCTCGCCAGCGGTGTATCCCAGAGCAGACACGGAACAGACTGGGTTCGTGAAGACCTTGTCGATAAAAACGAGAACACGAACCTTGCTCTCGTAGGACTCCAGCGCAGTCATAATACGCTTCTCAACAGTCAACATGACTGTTCTGACCCTGAGTCGACAGGCGAGGATCCAGAGCCGGACATTTAGTTTTAAATCGGCTTCAGGGACATTCCATTCAATGGTGCCTTGGTAGAAGTAGTCCAGGAGGTGACGCATAAGCTCCGGTTCAACGTCTTCAAGAACCAACACGCCATCTTTGTTCTGCTATCTGACGTGTCAGTTCTGATTGCTTCATATAGAGATGACTGGAATAGGGCAACCTGGAAATCGTCATTGAAAATAGTTTCAAAGCGCCGGGAGTGGCCGGCGAGTATTATCTTGTGAACGTTGATCACTTCTCCCCGACAGATGAGTTTGAAATCCGACAACCTGCCGGTTTCAATCATCCATCGATGATCCTCTTCGGCCATGTTGCAAGCCTTTCCGATTGGGTTTTCTGAGTAAAGGTTGGTCTGTGGCAAGCAGGTGTGAGATACTGGCATAATGAGAATGAGAATGAGAATGAGAATGAGAATGAGAGTGAGATGTGGGGACGCTTTGCCGCAGAAGAAGAGGGTGAAAAGTAAGCAGGGAATGATCAATTGTTTTCCAAGTGTAGAAGGAAAGCCTGGGGGCTGAAGTTGCCTGAGCTACTGATGAGAAGGCAGGTGCGACTCTTGAAGTTCGCAGGGAAGGAACGTGGGAGAATGGAGATCAGATACTTCCCGATTGAGGAGGCTTTGCAGACGGGTACTTTGTTGACGATTCGTTAAACTGCAGGTTATTTATCATGAACAGAATCTAAAGAAATAAAGTACGTTTGTCAATATATAAATGCGAAAGGTTATATTAATCGCAAGCAGTGC